CCCCTCTCCCCGCCGATCACCGGGCCACTGGTATATGTTTGGAAGGAAAACGGCAGGTGCGCGACGAACACAACGTGAATTCTACTCTGAATTTTATACCTATGGCAATTACCCCTGTCCCTTCCTGGCAGACTCTTTAAACTCTCCCCCGTGTGTAAATTTATCACTCATTTTTGGAGGCGCTTATCTTGGGCTCTTGAGTCTGGTTATCGGACGGTAATCTTGGAGTGATTAGGATTTTTTTGAGGGTTTTTTTAAGGTACAGCTGGGGCAGCTCTTGTCATCGGTGGGGATATCAGCGGTTTTTGATCGAGGAGTTTTTTGAATTCGGTTTTAGCGAGGAAAAAAAATGTTTGCGTTTTTTTACTACTGAACTACTAATTTTACGAGTCCATTAATGGATTTCTAGAATTGTTTAGGTAGTTGTCACACATTTACGCGTAATGCTTAGAGTGATGAGGATTTTTTTGGGATTTTTTAATTTATTATTGGATTTCCATTTTTTGGTACTGTCGTTATTTTATTAATGCATCTGGGATACATAGCCCCACAGCAGTCGACAATGAAAATAATTAGGGAGATATAGTTCGCAAGTGTAGCAGTGAGAGAAAATAAAAAAGAAAAGTAGATCAGGGGCAATACTGATCGATCTTTGTATGGTCGCATTTTTTGGCATTGGTAATTGAAGTTTGGGAATAAATGTGTTTGGACATTATTCGCTAGAATCAATTCTACAATTCTACAATTAAACTACTAATTTTACAAATCCATGAATGAATTTCTAGAATTGTCTGAGTGGTTATCCCTCATTTTTGGAGGAATTTATCTTAAGCTCTTGGGTCGGGTTATCGAGTGGTAATCTTGGAGTGATTAGGATTTTTTTGAAGTTTTTTTTTCAAGTTACAGCTGGCGCAGCTCTTGGAAGAAGATGGAATGATTTTGTTGTTGTCTTATTTCCAGAGAAGCAGGAAATTTATTATTGTCTTTCTTATTGTCCAGGTAATTCCATTTTCAACGAGGGAAAAATATTGTTGAGTTGTTTTACCACTAAACTACAAATTTTACAAATGCATGAATGGATTTCTAGAACTGTTTAGGTGGTTCCCTCATTTTTGGAGGAATTTATCTTGAGTCCTTGGGTCCGGTTATCTGTCTACAATCTTGGGAGTGATTAGGATATTTTTGATCAATTTTTTGATGGAATATTTTACTTCATTAGCAGAGTTTCTCATTCTAAGGAAGAAGATGTGAAGATTATGTTCTTATCTGATACTGTAAAATTTAATTTAGGCTTTCTAATTTCCGGTATTGTTACTTACGTTTGGGAAAAAATTGGTGAGTCGTTTTACCACTTGACTACTAATTTTACGTATTCACGAGTGGATTTCTATCCTCGTTTAGGTTGTTACTCCTCATAATTGATATTTCTAGGGTAATTTGAGTCGTTCCACAGTTGGTGACATCACAGCAGTGGTTTATTTTCGTTTGAACTTACCCATAAAGCATAGCTGCACCAGCAATTCCACCACCGCATTGAGCTGCTACGTAGAGAGACGCGCGAAACGGTGATATTTTCCTTGCGAATGCGAATGCTATGGAGACTGCGGGGTTGACATGCCCACCTGAAGGAACAATTAAATCAATCGATCAGAATACAGAGCTCATATGGAGCTGACACTAGTAGAGGTGTACGAATATTTTTAAGTCATGAGCAAACTCGTTCGCAGATGAAAAAAATTCGCTCACATGACGGTTTGACCCTTGAATATTTCGTCGATTTCCGCTTCATAAAATTAATTACATTTTCGCTATCTCCTGCAAATTGTGAGGTATTTAAAAAATATGACTAGCAATTGAACCATCCCTAGCAACTGAACTAATTGGTCACCAATAAAGTCAATCAATTTTCCATGCAAAAAATTAATTAAACCGACTGACTTCCGCAACCGTCCGATATAAAAAGAACAAGTGGGAAATTGCTTTCATTTCTATTTTTGATAATAAATTATCGATATGTTTCCAAATAGTCATCTTGCACATTATTTATCGTTTTATATTATTTTGTTCAATGAATCAAATGAAAGAATGATGCTGTCTATATTATCGAAAAACATAAATAAAATTTTTCATGCATAATGGAATGAGTTTGAAACATGATATCCAAAGATATCTCCGGAATTCTCGATTTAAAAAAATTACAATTTTTTGAAAATTATTCCATAAATAAAAACAATCATTATTACCATCGACTTCATCGAAACAATATTTTAAAGCCAACATTGAATAAATTTAGAACATTTTCTTGAGTGATTGTGGGACAACCCATTTTGAAAAAGCAATTGAAAATTCAAATAAATAATATATGAATTAATATCCATGAATATGGCTCAAGAATACCTTGAAGCATGAAGGCATTTTTAATTGTATTATATGAACCCATTAGGCCCTATAAATATTGTGTAATACTTCTTATGATACTTGAAAACATCGGCCCCCCTGGCTATGAGGATTCTCAACAACAACAAACTAAATAAATAAATAATTTTTAAAAACGAAAAATCCAAAATAAATTTGAAGGATTTGAAGGATTGCAAAGCGTTGATTCGAAAGCAAAATACATGGAAAGGAATGAAATGGGAACGAGAATTATCCCCTCACCACTGATATGTCCGAAGATGATCCAGATCGCGGCAATGGAGCAGCCAGTCCCAAGACAAGTAGCGAGGACCAGCAGTCCACTGCCATGAACAATGACACCGACTCCGGCGCCGAGTGAAACGAGGCAAAACATAAATGTCGCCAAGCACTCGACAGCAACGGCCCTCCAAAGCTCAAGGCTCCTGAACTCATTGGACATGGACAGCCTTCTAGTGTCCTGTCTCTCCTTGGGGGCATCCCTCAGCGCCGCAAGTTTACTCAACAAATTGACAATGTGTGCATCAACATCCCGCGATATTTCTGTTGCCATTTTTTAATTATTTATTTTTCAAGCCAACGGATGAGAAAAAACTCGGGAGCAAACACAAAGATGACGGAAAACAATGGATTTGGGCACTTCCGGTTGCTCTTTTTCTTCAGCGCATTGTTCCAATCTTTTTTCTTCAAAAGACTCTCTCTTTTGCCTGTCTCGAGCTTTACGTACACTTGCACTCGGGTTGATTTGTTTAAATTGCTTTCATTAGGCGAGATGAGGATTAATTGAAGCGCACTGTTGTGGCCTCAATCGTTCGCACAAGAATTTAAATTTGTATTTTTTTAAACTGTTTTATCCATTAAAATTGAAATATTTATTTTGGCTTTTTGAATTTTAGTTTAATGAATTTTAATTCATTTCCATTCATTGAGCTATTGATGGGGTTTGATTGAGATTGGGTTTTTAATTTTACCACTGAATTTGTCGGTGAGTTTTTTAGCCCCCGATGTTGCCCCTTCGGCAACGCGCTGTCGAGTGACAAGGATATGTTCGAAAGGGAGGGAACGGAACAGTGGGGAACAAGTGGGCAATAGTGCTCAGGCGGACCGAACGCCCCCACCACCAGGGCAACCACTTGGCTCGGGGGATTCACCCGAAACTTTACGAATGGAGAATCCCGGTGGATTCTTGGAGTGGTTGAAACGGGATTTTTATTTCGACATTGAGGGCTTCATTCGGGCGTTCGAACAAAAGTGGAAAAGCGGAGTGTCTGAAGAGAATTCTTGCTACGGGATTCGCGATAATTTTAGATTGATCTGCGAGGTTTAGGTGAGACTGGCGTCCGGGGGGTGATTTTTTTTTCTGGTGAGGAGGGGGACATTTTAAGGTATATCCCTAGAAAACAGATTTTTCGGCAATATTCAACTCTGAAAAATGGAAATTTCGCGAAATCATTTATTATTTTTAATTTGTAACGAAATTCATTGCATGAAAAATACGTGGGGGTGATTAAATGGAGGGGTGATTTTTTTTTTGTGAGGAGGAGGACATTTTAAGGTATATCCCTAGAAAACAGGTTTTTCGGCGATATTCAACTCTAAAAACTGGAAATTTCGTGAACTCATTTATTATTTTTAATTTTTAACGAAATTTATTGCAAGAAAAATACACGAAGGAAAGAGTTTTTTTAGTATAGGCCATCGCCCGCAGACATCGGCATAATTTTTAATTACAGTTACATTTTGAATAAGTCAATTGTTAATGTTACTCCTCAGTTTTTTGATTATTAAATTAACCGTCAATTTAAATATTCAAAAATGGGCCCTAATTTAAGCGCCAGATACTGAATTTCAGTAAAAATGACTGAGAACTAGAACTGTTTTCTCTGATTTTCAGAATCAGGGACAAATTCTCTGATATCGTTTTTTTTTATGCAGAAACATTTTTTTCTGTGTTGAGGGTTGAAGTCGAGTTTATCCTGACAGTTCGAGAATCATTAGTCACTGAACTTCTAGCGTAATCAATGGAACATTGACTGATTCCCAATCAATATTTTCAGCATGCCAAAATGCAATTCTCGATGCATCAGCTGTCATACAACTCTCAATAGTTTTATGACCATCTGGCAGGTGAATTGTGTTGCATGCCAATCAGTACATCTGGAACTCAAACACTGAAGTTTCTCAAAAATATTTATTCTTATACGTATTGACAGATAACAATTTCATGCCTAAAAAATGGATAAGCAATGAGAACATACAGATTCGCATAAGCAATGAGAATATAAAAATTCGAGTGTATTCAAAAATTAAAGAATTCGATCAATATTTTCCTTTAAATTACATATGCTATGATTTTATTTCTTATCGAAGAAGAAAGAAATCGTTGGGTTCTACGGGAGAAGGGCCTTGAAGAGAGGATGTATTGAAAAACCAGGTGCTGCACGAAGGTTCGAATAAATAATGACTTGAAATTGTGAATTGGAGCAAATTTTTTTCATCTCCACTAGAAAAAAAAAAGTCGTTAGAGAAAAGAATCCTAATTTTTTTTTGTTGACTATTATTGATACTAAATTTTTAAAATTCAAAAAAACATTAATTTCACAGTCGTAAATACATTAATAATCATCAAGTCCAATGATCACCCTTGAGAAAACCTACAGAAATGCTGGCGCGGCGCAGCTTTGTCCCATCACGGTCCATTAGATCCCCCGGTGCAGCAAAAACTGAGGAGAAAAAATTAATGAAACTCATACATGCATGATTCACTGACTTGTGGGCGACTCCCGACAGTGAGTCTCTTTCTTTTCGCTGGCGTGCCAACGAATGGACTCATTTATTCAATTAATTAACAATCCTTCGCCCAAAATAGGACGGAATACGAATTGCCCTACGATCCCAATTCGTATTTCGTCTCCAGTTTATCCAGTTTCACGTTTTCGAAAATATCTCAGGGACCAGAAACGATAGGGAAATTTTCACGAGAATTTTCCTCAAAAATATCCCAAATTAATAAATGCAACCTTAATTATAAAAAAATCATCCACAATTGAAAAGTTTCGAGTCTGTGTTTGAAACATTACGAAATAAATAGCCCAAAATCACAATTCGTATTTTGTTTCTAATTTTTTCACTTTCAATTTTTCGAAAATATTCCGGGGACCAGAAGAAATAGGAAAACTTTAACAAAAAATTATCTCATTTGTCCCACATTTTGCAAAGATTCCCTCGTTTTCCATCGCTACTAATTTATTCATTCCTCCAGAAACTCAGAAATGCCTTATCAAAGCTTTCCATCTCCCCGCGCCATCATGCCCACCCGATTAATAATCCCGGGCCTATAGGGCCCAACTGGCCTCATTTCCTCACATTTAAAATCATCGAAAACCAAAGTACTGAATTTTTTAAATTTTAATCGTAATCTCCCAAATTAAAAACGCAATTTTTAATTTGGAAAAAAACCATTCGGCTTCACAAGACCAAAATTTGTAATTAAAAAATCACTCGAAACCGAAGATTTTCGCTCTTTGTTCGAAACATTACGAGGGAAATATCTGAAAATGTCAGTTCGCAGTTCGTGATCAGTTCTACTTTCACTTTTTCGAAAATATCTCAAGAACCAGAAGAGAGGGAAACTTTAACAAAAATTCATCTCATTTCTCCCACATTTTGCAAAGATTCCCTCGTTTTCCATCGCTACTAATTTATTCATTCCTCCAGAAACTCAGAAATGCCTTATCAAAGCTTTCCATCTCCCCGCGCCATCATGCCCACCCGATTAATAATCCCGGGCCTATAGGGCCCAACTGGCCTCATTTCCTCACATTTAAAATCATCGAAAACCAAAGTACTGAATTTTTAAAATTTTAATCGTAATCTCCTAAATTAAAAACGCAATTCTTCCAATACAAAAAAAACCTCCATTTGGCTTCAAAATTTTTATTTAAAAAATCACTCGAAACCGAGGACTTTCGCTTCTTTGTTCGAACCGTTACGAAATAACGCGAGGAGCGCCATCCAACGGCACTCTACCTGTTTACCCAAAGGTGTGGTCGATAAAAGTCTGGTGGGTGGGGATATTTAACTCATCGTAAGCCGTGGAGTACGCTGAGTCAATTTCCATTCAGTAGTTGGCCGTTCGCGGCAAAATGGATACCCATGTGTTATCACTATTTCCAAAATTATTCAAACTACTGTTGACCCTGTCCCCGATAGTCCTAGTGAATTCGCAACAGAATAATCAGTACAATGGTGGACGTGCGTACGGACGAGACGGTGTTTACGAACCACCGGGGGCACCTGGACATCACACTTATGTCTACAAAGACAGGAGGTACGGCTATCAGCCCAGTTACCTGGATCCCATCTACAGGGGACCCATGCGTACACCTGAGGACAGATATCGGCCTGAAGTGAGCGATGTTTATTTCTTTTTCCTCAGGGGAGTGGGGGGATTATCTTTATGACTCAATTGGGTCCGGAGGCTGGGGAACAGGAAAAAGGAAAAGTTTTTGGGCCTCATCTGGGCTGAGGGACATTTACTGGTCACTGGGTTTGTTTACGACACCTTTCACGGAACGAAAGTGAGAGCTTTGGGAATATCGCGCTGTTACGGTATGCAATAATTGTTGGCTGATGACACTAGGGATTCCTCATTGTTTTGCTCGGTGGGATGAGTATTGTTTTTGTTTAGGATTAACCGGGGTTTTGAGGAATTTTTGGAATCGCTCAAATTTAAGTTTTGGTTTTTTTGGTAAGACAGCCCATTATGATCCAAAAAGTGCAAAACATGGCTTTTTAGAGTAAATAAAATAACGTCAATTCAGTAGAAGGTGAATGTCGATAGAACATCGATTGTTAGAATTTTTGAATTCGTTAAAAAATTTTCTCACGATTGTCTCATGATAACTAATGAAATGTTTTGATTAATTGATTTCATTGAATGATGGCTTAAAAGCTCGAAGATGAAAGCGATAATAGTAATCGTTGTTTTGATTTGTAGATTAATTTTCAGAATTTCCAATTTTTCTGAAATTTCCCTGAAAGTGAATTGTCCGACAGTTTCTTCTAAAACATTCAATTATGCAGGAAAAAAAAATTTTTAATGCCATTTGGTCAATAATTTTCAAAGAAGAAATATTTATATTTTTTAACTTTAATTTTATTTATTTTTTTTGAGTGAATTGTATAATTCACTCAAAAAATTTGTTTTTTCACTCGTTTTTTATTCGTTGGGGCTACTTGCAATGAAAAAATTATGAGGGTATTTTATGAAGAATTCAAAAAACTTTTCCTCTGACGAAATTTCGAACTAGAAATTCCTCTTGACATTTTCGCTCGAAATCACTCGTCTCCGATGGAAATCATGCTTTCTGTTACGTGTTTATCACTCGACTGCCGATATGAATCACCGAAATGTTTTCATTTTTTTTTTTTTTTTTTTGGTAATTGCAGTTGTCGAATGAATCAGCGAAGGAATTTGTCGGGATATTCCGGAAATGAATGGGTGATAGTGCATTGTACGATGATTCATCGCTTCCTCACATCTGTTAATTATTTAATTGTCTCGGTAGTGAGTGGATGTAGAGCGGTATCGCGAGACATTTCTTGTAGAGAATTCTAAAGCCACAGAGCATCGAGATAATTTCACATGTCTTATCATTTCGTAATCAACAAGTGGCGAATGGATAGAATTAGTTCAATGGTATTTTTGGGACATACACGGAGACGAACATTCAATAAAAATGACTCGAAAAACCGTAAATCCGTCGTCAAATGCTCTTTGGGGAATTTTTCTTTGAAATTCATAGGAAAGTGGAGAAAATTGACAGGCGAACGATGAATTTATCCTCTTATTTCTGAATTTGACAGCCATTGAGATGTTATTTTTACATGACACTTCATAAAATTTACATGAAGAATAGTGATTTCTACGAGAGCGATTAATATAATTTCATTTTTATCTTAATATCAATAGCGAAGTGGCAAAACGGTACAAGTCAATTTTGACTATCGACCTGTTTTCAATGAATATCTCGGAATCTAAGGGAGATAGCGAAATTGTTGTCATAACCTTTTTTGTAGAGCCGATTGAGTGCTACAACAAATGTAATTACGAAAATTTCGCTATCTCCCTTAGATTCGGAGATATTCCTGAAAAACTCAACTGGGAGATGAGTCGATTTAAATTATTGGCCAGTTTTTAGTGAATATCTCGGAACCTATGGGAGATAGCGAAATTGTTGTCATAACCTTTTTTGTAGAGCCGATTGAGTGCTACAACAAATGTCATTACGAAAATTTCGCTATCTCCCTTAGATTCGGAGATATTCCTCAAAAACTCAACTGGGAAATGAGTCGATTTAAGTTATTGGTCAGTTTTTAATGAATATCTCGGAACCTAAGGGAGATAGCAAATTTTTTGTAATAACCTTTTTTGTAGAGCGAATTAAGAGCTACAAAAAAGATTATTATGAAAATTGCGCTATTTCTCTTGGATTAGGAGATATTCCTCGAAAACTCAGCGAAGAGCTAAGTAGACTTGAAATCAATTACCACTTTACTTTAAAACAAATTAACCGCCCCATATTCGTTCACCCCAGGATGGTCCACAGTATCCGAACCTCCCCGGCATCCTCGGAGGATGGCGAGAGGATCTGCAGGGCCGTCAGCGCGCGGACTCAAAGAAACTAGAAGTCGGTCGCGACATTTTCGTGCAAACTCATTACGGCCAGGTACAGGGCTTCAAGGTCTACCTCTACGACCACCCTGAGGCCCGTCATCGCCCCTGGACTCTTCCAGTGGAGCGTGTGACAGGTCATGCCAATGTTTTCTTGGGGATTCCCTACGCGGAGCCTCCCACGCGGGAAAAGAGGTTCAAGCCCCCTCGGCCCCCAGGTCGATGGGAGCTTGTGCAGGCTGTGGACTGGGGCCCGGCGTGCCCTCAGCCGGCAAATTACACCGGGGCGACCAAGGGCATTCGCGATGTCGATGAGGACTGCCTCTATCTGAACATCTTCACGCCCTCCGTGGAGTCCAATGTCGCCAAACTATATCCAGTCATGTTTTACATTCATGGAGGTGACTATATTCATGGAGCCAGCAATTTGTTCCCTGGACACATGCTCGCTGCCTTCCATAATGTCGTTGTTGTGTCGATTAACTATCGATTGGGGGCATTGGGTGAGTCTGATGATAATAATTGATGATTTGTTGATTGCACAGGGAAAAAAAATGAGAAATGTCTTCAAGGATATTCAAGTTTGTGGACATTTGACTATTCAAACTTTTGTGGCTTTTATTATTTATAAACTGTGTGGGACTGAATTTAAACCTCGATATTGAACCGTTGGAAACCATTTTGAAAACCTGAAAACAATTTAAAAATTAACTTTTGGAGGAAGATTAACGAACCAATTTATAAATAATTAATTTACCACTATAAAAATCATTTGTGCGGAGTCGTAACAAATTTATTCATGTTCAGAAATTTACCAGAAATCGATGTCATGTCAAATAAATGTTTTTTGAAAGTTTAAACATTTTCAATTATTTATTTACAAACGAGTGTTTAAAAAATCATAATTTTGTGCAAAATGTCAGTTGAATCACGCTGAATATTCATGATTTTTATTCAATTTTTTCTCACGTAATTTAATTGACGAATTTGATGATTAAAAATAGCTGAATCTATGGTGTGATCTTTATCGAACTGTAAAAGATACTTGGATATCCTTAAATACAGAACTTTTGGGTAATGAAATAAAAAACGCTGGTGTTCTTAAAATAAAAAACTTGGGGTAAATCCCCTCCCCTTTTTAATCGCGTGCCGTAGCATTCGAGTGCCCCCAACAGTTCTTAATTTAAGAACCCCGAGGTTTTTATTTCAAAAACATAAAGTACTGGATTCTATAACAGACAGTGCCTTGAAATAAGAGAAAATGTGCCTCAATTTAAATACAATGGATACTGAATTCCAGTAGAAATCACTGAGAACTGGAAAATTCTCTTAGAATAAAGGAAAAATTCACAAAAAATGCAGAACTTTTTGTTTCCTGAAAACCAGAACCATTTTTTCTCTGTATGATTAATTCTCATTCAATTGAGCAAGCGATCACGTTCATCAACGAACAAATTGCTTCTCAGGATTTTTGAGCACTGGAGATGAAAACAGTCCAGGAAATTACGGAATTTTCGATCAAGCCGCTGCACTCCAGTGGGTTTACGAAAATATCAAAGCCTTCAAGGGTGATCCTGAGGCAATCACGCTGTTTGGGCCTGGCGCTGGAGCCGCCAGTGCTGGATTATTGATGGTAGCTCCTCGGTGAGTCTCCAATATGAAGATTCCGCCATGTGACCGAAATTTTAGGGGATGAAAGAGGGTGAAATTCCGAGTCAAAGGTCGAATGGAGGATTAGCCGTCAGGCTAATCCTGAGTTTCGATATATTTTGGCACAAAATAGCTTCACAAAACTCTCATCTTTTATAGATGGGATAATTCTTTAACTGCCAGCAATGTCCCAGTTAATGGCAATTTTAATGAATGTCAAACAATTATTTTTTAATAATTCACCGAATCCACGCAGACACTTAATACTCTTTTTCATCATTTTGGATTGTTATTTTCCCAAATTAATGACTAAATAAATTAATATCCCCATCAATATTAAATTTTTGTAATATTACAAACATTTGACCCTTCCATTAACAAAGATTTACACTACACTGCTCAAATTTTAAAAATAGTATAATAATAATAATCCAATTTTTCGGATTAATGATGAATTAAATATGCGATAATGTGGAACTGTAAATTTATCATCAAGTGAATAATTCTAATTGCTTAAAAGTTGAATTTCCGATTGCACAAATAATCGTCAATCTTCTTACCTAAATTATTGATTAATAAAATAATTGGATAAATTGAATTTAATTTGAATATGTCAGTAGCGAAGTGGTAAAAGGGTATAAGTCAATTTTGACTATTGATCAGTTTTCAATGAATATCTCGGGATCTAAAGGGGATAGCGAAATTGTTGTCATAACCTTTTTTGTAGAGCCGATTGAGTGCCACAACAAATGTCATTACGGAAATTTCGCCATCTCCCTTAGATTCGGAGATATTTCTCAAAAACTCAACTGGGACATGAGTCGATTTAAACTATTGGTCAGTTTTTAATGAATATCTCGGAACCTAAGGGAGATAGTGAAATTGTTGTTATAACCTTTTCTGTAGAGCCGATTGAGTGCTACAACAAATGTCGTTACGGAAATTTCGCTATCTCCCTTAGATTCGGAGATATTTCTCAAAAACTCAACTGGGAGATGAGTCGATTTAAATTATTGGCCAGTTTTTAGTGAATATCTCGGAACCTATGGGAGATAGCGAAATTGTTGTCATAACCTTTTTTGTAGAGCCGATTGCGTGCTACAACAAATGTCATTACGGAAATTTCGCTATCTCCCTTAGATTCGGAAATATTTCTCAAAAACTCAACTGGGAGATAAGTCGACTTAATTTAACGGTAATTATATTTTTTGGATTCGGCTATCGCTGCTTCGGTGACAGTCAGGTCCGGTGGAAAAATAACATTCGATGTTATCGAATAATAATTGTCGGAATGGCATTAGATCATCTATAGAATGTTGAATTATAAAAAAGTTGAAAAACCTTCGATTCAGAATTGAACCCTCTCTAGAATTCCTCCTGTGCAGAATTTACGAAGAATATCTCATTATCTTATTCAGAACAAGACACATGGTTTCGAAAGTAATAGCCCAGTCAGGCTCGGCCCTCGCGGATTGGGCGCTGATTATCGACAAATATCGCGCCCAAAACACGTCAAGAGTTTACGCTGAGAAGATGGGCTGCAGTATCGAGAGTAGTTACAAGATAGTTCAGTGTTTGACCTGGGGACGTAGTTCCTACGATTTGGGAAATTCCGACCTTCAGCCGCAGGTAGGAATGTTCCCATGGGGACCTGTGCTCGACCACAATTTCACGGTACTGAGGGACAATTACGATGACAATTGGCGGGCCTCTGATTGGCATTTCTTCACTGAGACACCGGAGGAGAGCATCAAACAGAGAAAATATAGAAAAGACATTGCGTACATGGCTGGGGTTACCATGCAAGAAGCTTCACATATTTTGTGTGAGTATTTTTATTCTCTACACGGAGAGAAAAGTTGAATGACAAATTACCCAGAGAATGGCTAATTTTACTGTACGAAAGGTAATTGTGGAGTGAAATGTAGTTCAATGAGAAAATAGCTGTTTGTGGAGGATATTTTACGATTCGTTCGGTAAAAAAAAAAACACATCTGTGGATGCACAAATTATCCTGCTGTTGAAGATGTCCAGGAATAAATTAATTTGCCTTTATAATTACAGTCAACAATGAGACGTTGAGACGAAGACAGTACTTGTTCGATGCCGAAATGTTTAATCAAAAAATTTGGGAACTTGTTCTAAGGTACAATTATACCTTAAATCCTTATGGGGTGTATGAGGCTATCAAATACATGTACACGTACTGGCCGGATCCCACGAATATCACGTTAATTCGTGAACAGTACATTAATGTAAGTAGATTCATCACTTTACTCATTTCATTTTGGTAATTGTGGGATGAATGTAAATGTTTTTGATAATAAATTGACAGTGTGCTTCCGAATGATCACTTTGCGCATCATTTTTTTCCGCTGCATGCCATTCATCGTTTTATATTATGTTCATTTAATCATTCTAATTGCAAAAAGCAATATGACCGGTATTGCAATAAATGATTTTCTCATGTTTTAATTTCTATGCTCACTGAATAGGATTTTAATCATAATTACAATTCAATTCCTTCTAGAACACACTTTAGAGTGTGAATTTCTGGAATTCAATGTTTGTTGATACTCTGATAAAAATGCGTGCCCACACTGTTATCAATTTTTAGTTAGTCCACACGGTAATTTAATTAATCTGTTGTTCATCTCATCAATGTAATTCCGTGCTTAGAATATTGTCATCTCGTGTTTTCAGCACCAAATTAAAAATTAAAACTTCATTTGGAATATTGAGTCACAGCTTCTTTTTATTCGTATCAGAAATTTGTGTTTGGATATTANAATTAATCTGTTGTTCATCTCATCAATATAATTCCGTGCTTAGAATATTGTCATCTCGTGTTTTCAGCACCAAATTAAAAATTAAAACTTCATTTGGAATATTGAGTCACAGCTTCTTTTTATTCGTATCAGAAATTTGTGTTTGGATATTAATATTATTTATTCAAAGTGAAAAAATCGATAATCATTTTCACTATATTGCATTCAGATTCTCCTATCCTTAACGTCAAAAATGTGAGATAATCTCATAATTCTAGCTATTAATTCTAATCAACTTTGTTCGAAGAAAACCTTAGTAAACGCAATATTGAGAAAGTAGAATTATTCTATTTTCCTCTGACTTCAATGATTTGGACAATTATGATTCGTTTATTCATATTTCATAGAATGGCATGCCATTCTCGCCTTGCTTTCTCCATTCGCTCGAGCTATCCGGCATGTTCGACTTCTTTTTCGATTCGAAATACTGCCCATGCTTTTTTTACAAAGTATAATGCGTCATAACCAATTAACCACTATAAAGCTCACATTGGGAAGCAAAAATTGATTTGATTTCTGCTCTTGGAAATGATGATTCATTCTCCCGATGATTTCAGCTGCTCTCTGATTTCCTATACGTCGCGCCGTTTGACAAAATGGCAAAATTACTGGTAGAGCGTAGGGTACCAGTTTTCCTGTACGTTTTGAATACAACTATTGAGGCACTCAATCTGGAACACTGGCGTCGCGTGCCTCACGATATTGAGCATCTGTGGTTAACAGGGGCCCCATTCATGGACACAGGTGCTCATTAACAGCAATTAAACATTATCAAACAACACATAATATTTTTACAATTACAAAGCCCACGACACGCATTTCATTCACTTTCTCCGCTGACGAATGCGATAATTACACCTGATTTTTTAGAATTCTTTCCGGACAAGTGGAAGGTAAATCGCGAAGCGTGGACCGATAACGACCGTAACATGAGCCTCTTCTTCATGAAGTCTTACGCTAATTTCGCGACTTACGGCAATCCGACACCAGCCCAGATACTGGGACTGCATTTTGAGGAAGCTAAGATCGGCTATCTCAAGTATTTGAATATCAATACGACGTATAACAGCTCGGTTATGTTCAATTATCGACAGACTGAGAGTGCCTTCTGGTCGCAGTACCTGCCGACTGTCATTGGGAGATTGGTGCCGACTTATCCACCAGTTACTGAAGTATTTTTACACTCTTAATTTATTATTTAATTTAATATCAATCAAACGAAGAATTAATTCAATCAGAGGATTTAAATTAATTCGATATCTTGGAGTTGAGTAGTTTTAGAGAAAAAAAATTTGGGAGATATTTCTTGTTGGAAATTTTCTCAGCTGTAAATAAACTCTTTTGACATTTTATTTTAAAATCACAGTGTTACATCAAAATTGAAATTTCATGGACTTCAGTAATGAATTTCAGTAATGTTCAGGCGAATGACATTCAATTCGATTCATGGGAAAAAAAATTAAAGAAATCAGTGAAATTTTATTTTCGCGGAGCATAAAGTGGAAAATCCCTCAACTTAAATTAAATTATCAAAGAAAACGCGATTTCTGTAAATTTTCATGGAATAATTGAACTTAAAATTCAGTTTCCATTGAATTTTCGAGAAAATCCCTTCAAAATTCATTTAAGCTACAATGTGACAAAGATTTCCAACAAGTGTACAGAGAATGTCGCCCAACCATTTTTCAACACTCGACTCTTCTACGAAATTAAGAAAGACTGCACGTAATATTGTTTCATCATTGAACTACACTTTCCCCTCATGTTTCAATGGTATTCCTAGTACTGGTGGGAGCCCAAGCAACCCCTGCAGATAGCCTTCTGGTCCATGTCAACAGCCTGCCTCTTGCTACTCGTCCTCTCCGTTGTCTGCTGCATGCTGTGGCGCAATGCCAAAAGGTAAGCAAAGGTAAATCAGAACCGAATCCATGTGACTACAGACCTGACACTGGGATTTTGGTAGTGCATGGGTATGGAGGTTCTGGTGAATCGAAGCATAAAAATCCTCATTTTTATTTCCACCGCTACCTTAGATAGACTAACAATTAATCGGTATATTTTGCAAATGCATTGCGCCAGCAAATTGCGAGCTGCTAGGAAATATACAGCTGAGATGGAAAGTAAGAGGAAATTGAGAATTTGCACTTATGCGTTGTTGTTGTAAATGCACAGTGGAATTTTGCTTTCATAGGATATTTGCAATTTTTGTCACAAGTAAAAAATCACATTTATAAATAGGAGACTCAGGTGAAAAGGGCCGTCTTCAATCATCAATATCTCCTGATCAAACAATACGATTTAGATGAATGAAATCGCATTTGAGAGCGTATTTTTTTTTAAATATTTATCTCAGCAAATTTTGAGAAAAAAATTTTTAAAACTCAAAAAATATACATTTTAGAAAAGGCTTATTTTGTTATGTTTGTGTACACATTATGAATGTGTGAATTGCGTTATAAGGACACGAAGATTTTATTCCTCGAATACCTCATTTTGAGGAATAAAAAAATCAAAACCTATTTTTTTCTTATTTCGCGGCATTCCCTTCCAAAATACTACTAAATAATAGTAATAATAGTGAAAAATAGTTCATTTACAAACTTTTCCTCAAAAAACAGAAGTTTTATTTTGCATTCAAAAACACCTTCAAAATGAACGATTGGAGACGACCCGTTTCGCCCCTATATTAAATATTTGACGCCGAAAACTTAAATTCCCTGTATCCTCACCTCTTTCAAAATTTTCTCGAAAATAGGCAGTCCGATCACTACTATAGCGGAGACATCCTGATGGTCAGAGACGACGAGCACTCGGAAGGAATCGAGAATCTAACGCGTGCATCGAAGGACAATCTCTACGAATACCGCGACACACCAACACTAAAATCAAGAATGCCACGACAGAGTGAGGCAAAATTGCAAGATCGTTTAGCCCAAAATCGCAAATTCAGTTCAACCCCTTCATTGAGGAGTAATTCAAACGTCTCCCTGAAGGACATGAGGAGCGAGGGCTTCATTACCAGTTCACCCAATGGTCAGCCAAGACTTGGTAAGGCGTCGAGTCAATCTACATTGACTAAAGGTAAAACCAGGACGCATTTGGTGCAGGGAGTACCTCAAACTGCTGTATAAAATTAAAAAGAAAACTGAAATTATTGAAATTCAAGAGATTTTTATAAAGAATTAACTTTTTAAGGGGAGACTACTATGAGTTTTGAAATTAGAGTGAGATCTCTTGTACATTAATCACTCATTATATCGATTATATATGTATAAAAACGACGAATAAGTGCAAAGAAATTATCGCTTATTATTGTTTAAATTAAAAATTGCACTTTCATGCAGAATAGACAGTAAATGTACTGTCAAAATATTTATAATATTTTTTATTCATTTGGGGCAGCAAAAAAAATTTTAATGTAATAATAATAATTATTATTATTATTTAAACAATTTGCATAAACTAATTCGTAGTTGTTATTCCACACACTCTTTGGAAAATTGAAGAGATTATTTTGAAAACTCATAGTATTCTTCCTCGACTACAACGCAAAAATTTGATGAATTTTAACTAAAAAAAATTTTTGATTTATATTTTTTTATGTTATATTTTAGGAAATATATTATGCACAAAGAATTATTTTTTACAACCAATGATTTTTCTACATTTCTTGAATTTTAATACTTTATTTTTTCAAGTGCCTTTCACTACACTCACATTTGTGATTATTTTATTGTAAACATTGAATTACACTGATCTCATCGACGATGTCACTCATAAGAAAAGGAGAAGTAGAGAGGAAGAGACGTGTGTTCAACAACATTTTCATTTAGGAGTAATGAATTACGCAGTGCGGGATTATGACATTTCACTGCTCAATAACTGGGCCTTATGCTTTGCCAAAAAGCAATTAAAAATGAACAAAAAGTTCCAAAGAGGATTAACTGGTCCTACGATTTTATTTAACGACGAAATTAATGATAAGCAGCCACTGGTGGCAGAACCAATAATTAGGATTCAAGATTATTTCGAGTGAGTCCACGTTTCTACATCGTATATCCGTCCATTAATGCAACGACCACTAGCACGTACAACTAATTTCAATAAGTATTATTGTATTATATAGTCTACGAGTATATATTTCAAGACATTGGGAAAATGTCTATAAACAAATTGATTGAGAAGTGACCAATTACTTTTTTAATTAAGTGTTTTAGTCTATCATCACGTACAAACATCATCATTTATTATACCGTAGCTTTACGTCAAGTAAGGGGAGACCACATAAATTTGGACTTCAGTTTTAGTGTAAAAAATGAGAAAAAAATTGTTTTAAAAAAAAATTTTTAATGTTTTTTTCAAAATCGGCTGAAGTAAAAAAATTCAAAAATTATTAATAGTCAACTACATCATAAATTAATGAAGTAGTTATTTTTTTCCGATTTTTCGCCTGTACTAATTTCGCAAAAACATTGCAAACGCCCAAAAAATAAAGATTTTTAACGAGTTACCCTGATTTAGTTATATGGATGCATATATTCTTCATGTGTCAACCAAAATTGAAGTCAGTCGGCTGAGAATTGCGTCATGAACCACTTTTTAAGATTCAATGAATGAAAAAAATCGAAATGTAATTTTTTCTTTTTTTTACATTAAAATTAAAACTGAAGTGTAAACTCATCATCACGACGACTAAGGCCCCAGCTTTGAAATTTCAGTGTGTTCTCACCTTAAACAGAATCAAATATTGTTTCAATGCAAATGAAATGAGTATGAAGAATTTTTTTAATAATTTTTACACCAATTTTTGTAATATATTCAACCACTCATTCGCAGAGCTATTTTACCATAAACCTAGCGATAGATTGATTGTCATCAAGACATGTTGAAGTCTACAAGATACACACGAAGTGTTCGATTTATGAAATTAATGTTGTATTTTATGAAATACATGTACACAAATCATCGTTGAATTTTTTTATTGTAATAAAATAGATTAATATAGCACACAAGATTTTATACGAGACTATGAATGAATAAAGCTATGCAATGACGTCACATGATGATATTATTTCATGTCAATCGGCTTTGGATGATGATAATTAGTTGTTAATTGGGTACAATAGATGTTTGGGGTGAAATTGGTGAAAAAAAGAATGATAAAAAAATTTGTCAGAAGTGGGATTCGAACCCACGCCCTCAGAGAGGACCAGAAGCCCCATCTGTTCAACTCAGCAGTGACTGAGAAGGTATTACCCTTGAGTCTGGCGCCTTAGACCGCTCGGCCATCCTGACAATATGATATTTTTGTTCTTCATTCACTCTGAAATGATTGGTTCGCATTTTCACGATTGAATATTGTTAATTTACATGCGGAAACATTTAACAGGTTTAAATAATTATTTGGAATCTTCGAAAAGTTGCTCATTATTCATAATTTTGATGATGATTTGTTTTGAAACTCATGAAAAGAAATTTTTGATGATGAAATTGATGAATTATTGCTGGAGAATATTCATAAATAATTAACGGGAGATTAACTATTGATAAGAATATGAATTTATTCTTAATTATTTAAACTATTAAAGTTTATGACATGATTTTTATTTGCTCTGACATGATTATTCGGTTTTTTTATGAATGACTATTGCTAATTTGAATGAAAAAACATTTAAAGAATTTAAATAAATATTTGAATTCATTAAAAATTTCCTTGTTAGTCATTATTTTGATAATGATTTCTTTTAAAACTCATAAAAAGAAATTCTTAATGATGAGATTGATGACTTATTGCTGAAAAATGTCCATATTTAACAGACGAAAAATTAACTATCCATGAAAAACTGATTTATTCTTAAATATTTAGGAGTCAAAATCAAATTCAGTGAGGAACACAGGATATTCGGGAAGAATAAGAAAAATACAATTTTTCTGAGATCATATATATTTCGGAGCAAAATTAACAATGATCGGTTACATAAAATTTCAATTTCAATGGCAATTCATACAAATGATTTTTCATACCCTGACACCTCCTTGCGTCGCGTACCAAACAAATCGGAAAAAAAAATCATAAAACAATAGTGTAATACTAGTCCTAAACAGACCATTATAAATCACTACTAATAACAATGGATAATGAATAAAAATTCATAGAGTGAAGATGAACTCCTCTCTTGTGAATCCTCATAAAAAAATTAAACAAAAAAAATGGAACAATTTTCACCCCTTGGGTTCTTAATTTGATTCAAACAACTCTCCACCGAATAAGAAAATTACAAAAGAAAATAAAATAAAATATGATGTTTCGTGGAATCTACCGAACTCTGGGCTCAGATTCTGCCTGATAGTTACCTTAATCGACTAGATCGGTTAATGGGCCAGTGTTTGAAGTGTACACAGTACACAATAATATTTATATTAATTAATTAATCAATCAGAAAGAAAAAAATCAAGTATTGGTGATTGAGTTGGATGTCAACATGAGTTTCTTCCTTCTTATCTAAGCAATTATTCGTGATAATGGGAGAATTTCCAGCAGCAAAAATTTAAAATAAAGATTTTTCACGATGTAAACATTTCTGAATTCAAGGGAAATGGGGAAGAATTTTTTTGCAGCTAAAAATAAGAGCTAAAAAATATCGAGAAAAAATTTCGATCGCCTTATTCTTGTCTTCCTTCTCAATCACTCATATTATCCATTCATTGCATTCCCGATACGGTATTACAGTTACTAACAGCATCTGTTCACCTCAAAATTGGAATAAAAAATATATTCTCTGCATTAAATCCAGAAAAAAAAATCAATAGAAGTTGAATTCAATCATGCGATCATTTCTAAAAAATGACGTCTAAAATATTATGTACAGTAAATGTTAGTTTGTACATTTCGATTTTAAATAGTAGAATCGTCTTAATTATTATCTTACGCTGCTTAAGATTAGACCACTGGTATTATCAATTGTAAATTGATAGTGGGAATTACGCTAATTCGGCGTCTCGCCGGCTGATGAGGTGGACGGAAGCTGTTGGGGTAAGAAATTGACGACTTCGTGGTAGATGAGTTCCTTCCACTTTTCAACTGGAAGGTCCATGTCCTCGAAGCTCTGGTCGTAGGGGAGGGAGACTGGCTCATCTGTTGGATCAGCGTATTGCACTAGGTACGGGTGGGCCAGTGCCTGCTCCGCTGTTATTCTCTTCTCTGAATCCAGTTCTAGCATTAATTCCAGAAGATCGATTGCTGGAAAATCAAATTGCACGATTTTTTCGTGGAGTTTTTTCATTGATTTTTTTATTTTATTGTTATTCACGTGATTGTTTATTGTGCTGATGAGTTTACTACTTTAGTTTTCATGGAATCATCAAAAGTGTCGTTACAACGCAATTTTTAATCACGTAAAATGCTCTTTCTGATCGCTAAAAAAATAAAAACCCTATTTTTTCCTATTTTTTTAACATTAAAACTGAAATAGTCACTTCATCAATGCGATTTCCACTCAAGAATTACCAAAAAATTGTTTGATTCAACTTTGAAAGTCTCGAACATGAATAATCGCGCGAAAATCGAAACTATCGTTGAGAAAGGAAAGTTTATTAGAAACATTTTGTCCCTAAGTCACAAAATTCCTATCACATCCTCATTATCATTTCAAAATACTTATTTAAGAATTTTTTTTTCTCTGTACGTTCTGACGAATGCATAATAATGACTAAAAAAAAGGCCAATTCAACACATGACGTTTGGAATTTGAATGATTTTATTCATTACCTAGTGGATTTGCTCCACGGAAAACGTCCTTGAAGTTTTTCTTCTTCAGCGGGGGTAGACTCTGAATATAATTCCTCGCCTGTAACGGATCAATTCAATTAAAATTCAGAACAAAGCCAAGAACACTAGGATCTTCTCGATCTTGTTCTTCTAATTTTTTTCTTCCGAATGAAAGCATTGAAATCGTTATATTTTTACATTCTCCAATTTCGCTTGTTTTAAACAGAACATTATTGAAATTTGGATGAAAATAAGTGTTGATCCCACAATAGGAACGATTAATTGTGCATTGAATTTTTGAATTATACCAATTTACCTCTTGACTTGTTATTTTGCTTAGAGTATCTTCTGTGGGTGTTCCACACAGTACAAGAACTCGTGTTAGATGATCAATGTCTGCACATGGGTTAAGGCTTCTCTTTGTGCGCTCAGTAAACGCAAATTTCACTCGTTAACTCCACTAATTGCCAATTGTCAAAAATTTCGATGCATTTGAGTTGTCACTTAGACGAAGGCGGTGTGTTGAAAAGGGAATAAAAATTGAGGTAACACATGCGTGATGCACCCAGAATAAATAATCAAAGTGTTGCATGCTTTGGCCTATTAAGCATTTTGTGGCAATCCCTGTCAATTGCTTTTAGCGCACAAATGACAATATAAATGGTTAAAACGGGGAGAATATTTTTATGGAGGGAATGTATGACAAAAATGTGAATGAAAATGTGGAGGTTATTTTCTTTCCTCAAAAAAATAAAATAAAAATTTGGGGGTAAACCCTCCCTTAATTATACAAAATTATTTCAAAACATGAGACATAATTGCACAATCAGCAATATTATTTTTGTTAATTTGCCAATTACCTTAACAATGATTAATTTTAAGAGAAAATTTTTCCCGAAAGTATTTTGCCATTTTCTCCTGAAATTAACGATTTCCGAGATAATCATAATTTTGTATTGCACCTGAAGCATTGATCACTGGCAGCCGCCTATCAATACTGAAAAACACAAGCCCACTTACCGACTCTGATGATATTTTCTTCATAAATTCGTCCCGTGGAGTGCCCAGAACTTCCATAATGAGGTTGAGTTGATGAATATCTGCTCTTGCTAAGGCTCCACTAAAATTATCTTACATTCAACATTTCATTATTTATCCTCACGTTTTTATCACTCTTTCTGGGTTTAATCATTCGCTGGAGGCGTCTCCATAAATTATAATCCATGGACCTTGACGGTAATTGATATTGAAAGCGTTTTAGCAGTTTGAAAAATATATTATGGCCATCCCAAAGCGATTTGCCCCTTCACCATAACTCTCAGTGATTCGTTTGACTGAATTTTTATAGCAAGAGCCGAAAGCGTAGATCCTTAGCAATAAGCAAATGTATGAAATTTCGGTGACACGTGAGGGTTAGAGACAATTAACGAGGCAGTGACTGATAATCCCAGGATTAATCACAAGTAGAGAACAGTGAGAAGGTGCAGAAGGTGAAAAATGTCTGAAATACTGTTGAATAACTAAAGGATACGATCAGTGCCAGGGAACAGGGTCCGTCCAGTCAGCAGCTCGGCCATTATGCAGCCAACAGACCAAATGTCAACTGGGAATGACAGTAAACATCAAAGGAATTAATTTATTCGTGACTTATCTCAATGAATTTAGAGAAAAATGTGAGTTATTTTTTATACAGAATTTTCTTCGTCACTACACGAAAAATTTATCCATTAAATCCGTTGCAATCCTCAACTTCCTCCAGATAAATGAATTTTTTCTCAGATAATTATAACTTATCTCTCCACTCAATGCCAGGAAATTCCCATAATATCTCTTGATTCAACAAAACGTTTTTTTAAAAGATAAAATTGATAAAAAATTCTGGTTTATCTAGCTTGTCTATCCCACCTGTCTGATTGTAATGCATCCAATTGAGCATGATCTCAGGTGCTCTGTACCACCTAGTAGCCACGTAGCCAGTCATCTCGTTCTCAGTGGGTCGGGCCAGTCCAAAATCTAGGATTTTCAGTTCACAGTCTTCGTTCACTGCTATATTCGATGGTTTCAGGTCCTGTAATATTATGAAATAATTCGATCAATGTCTTCTGACCTCAGTGGTATAACAAACTAATGAATAAACATTCTCTTTGAATTTGTCTCGATTTTTCAAAAATTTTAATTGCATTTTTCTCGATTTTTTTTCAATTTTTGATTGAATTTCTTTCTTGCTAATTGAAAGAATTATCTTGTGCCCTCAGTGGCATAAAAAAGAAAAGAAAAAATTCTCTCTTTGAATTTATCTCGAAATTTTTTTTCAATTTTTAATCAACTTTTTCTCTTTCTAATTCAAAAAATTGTCTTCTGCCCTCAATGGCACAAAAAACAAATGAATAAACATTAATTAATTATTATTTTAGGGACAAATACCCTGTGAATGATGCCAGCAGAATGGATATACTTCAATCCCCTCAAAATCTGATAAACCAAGAACTGTACGTGATCGTCAGACAATTTCTGGGTTCTCACGATATTATTGAGATCTGCGCCCATCAGATGAGTCACCAGGTACAACTGCTGGAAGTCCTCGAGGCTGGAGGCTGGGTGGAACACGTCCAGCAGGCCAATCACCTGCAAATGATATTTGCTCTTCGATTTTTTTCATAAAACTCATTCATTGACATCGATTAACGTTCATCATTCATACTTACATTTTCGTGGTTCATGTGCTTCAGCATACGCAACTCTCTGTATGTTCTCTTGGCATGGACTGCTGATTGAAATGGTCGGGCTAATTTTTTTATCGCGACTTTTTGATTTGTCGTTTGATCAACAGCAGAACTGGAAAACATAAGCAACAAAATTATTTTAATTATTATTACTCAGATTGGAGGATAAAAGAATTTTAATTTTGAAGAATTGAAGAAAGTATTTCATATGGAGTGGATGATTCATTAATAATTAGAAAATGGAAATGGGGGAAGAGTTTAACTATAATCAATTGACTACAAGTCAATTTAACTTGAGGAAACAGCTCAGTTTATTGTGAATATCTCTGAATTGAAATGAGATACCGAAATTTTCATTCAGACCTTTTTTGCAGTTAAAACATTCCTCTTCAAAAAAGTTCCTAATGAACATTTGTCTATTTTCCTTAGATCCCAAGATAATCCTCAGAAACTGATCGCATTTAAATTCCTCTCGATTGATAATTTTTAAATTCCCTGTTGCTATTCGTAAAATTCTCTGTTGAAAGCATTTGAATATTGAAAGAATGTTAAGTGCCTTCAATAATGGAAGTGTGTTAATCGCTTTCAATAATGACAGTAGATAGCAAACCAACATTAGACCTGGAAAACACGATCTCCAAAATTATTTGGATTATTATTCAGATTAAAAAAGCGAAGAATTTTAGAATAAATTATAGGATTAATTATGAAGAACTGATGAAATTATTTCATATAGTAGATGATTAATTAATAATTAGGAAACGGTAATAGGGGAAGACTAACTATATGAGTTATTTTGCCTTGAGAGAACGGTTCAGTGTTTTATGAATATCTCTAAATAGAAGAGAGATACCGAAATTTTCATTCAGACCTTTTTTGTAGCTGAAACATTTCTCTCCAAAAAAGGTCTCCACGAATATTTCTCTATTTCGCTTAGATTCCAAGATAATTCCCAAAAACCGATCTCGTCTAAACTCCCTTCGATTTCTAATTTCAAAATTCTGGTCTCTGTTCTTCAAATACTCCGTAGAAAGCACTTGAACATTCACAGAATGTTAATTGCCTTCAATAATGATAATAATAGATAGTAGAGGTGAATTGGAACTCCTCCAATGTGATTTCAAAATTCGAACAAGACAAATAATGAAATCAAAAAACCAGAGAAAAACCCAAAGGTGAAGAATTGCCGAAAAAAATTCTGTGCAATTTGATTTTTCTCTTTCTCATTATTCCTCTTTTTCCCCATTGTTTTTATTCATCACAGGGTCAATCGGGTTAGTAGGATTGCATCGAGTCGAATGGAACGCCGAGAATAGACAACCACTTGATTATTACAAGTGTAAGAGAGTGTCAAGGTCTTTCGATTGTTGCGTGATCAATAAGAAAAATTGTAATTGACGCCGCAATTCGATTGAAAAAATAAACTACTGTCATGTGGATTGATGAGTGAGGTCTGGAGACATTGAGCGGATGAAAACGATGGGAAATATTTTATTGTTATTACCAAACTTGTCCATAGGCCCCCGAACCAACTGGTGCCAGCATCTGATATCTCTCTGGCACCTCCCACTCAGTCTTGTTGATCTCAATCTTGTGAAATTTGGGCATTTTTAATGTGGCTCAGGTATCTACGAATGCTCTTTCAGATTTACGAAGATTCGTCAGTATAATTTGTCAACATGCACTTGAAATTTATCACCGGGAGCGACAAAAAATGTACGTGCACTACACCATTTCCAAATTAGTCCAAATAACGTGGGTGTGAGTGCGCGCGGGTAGAACTGAATATGGTGGATGGAGAGGATTCGGGGATTCACCGAGAGATGGAAGGAATTTCCTGGTGATTATGTGGAATTTTGAACAGTGGAAAATCGTGGAATATGTGGAATTTTAAGTGAAAAAATCGAATTTCGTATATTGCAATAGAATTAGGGAGTTTTTCCTTAATTTGTTATCATAATTTTGAATTTTTCTTGTTGAGTCGGGTGAAGATACTGACGGACGGATATTATCCGACCGGTGGTAATTATCCGGCGGACGCACTGGTTAAATGATGTGTGAATTAGAGGGTCCGAATGATCAGAAAGCATAAACCGTAAGCGACAGACGTTAGCAGCGAGCAATAAGCCAAGGTTTTCGCACGGAACTCCTGCTGCAACGCACGATCCAAGAGAAACTGTTGCTTATGCCTTCGATTTTGATGCAGGACGTGCACTAAGTGATTCCTTCATCATTATTTGGGAAAACCCATAGATTCCTTTTTCAATTCATTGTTTATAATCATTCCCGTTGCAAAAAGCAATACGATCGATGAGAATCAGATGTCGCAATTTATCAGTTGTTAAATTTTCATATTACAATAAATGATTTGCTCATGTTGTAATTCCAATGCGAATTGAATAAGATTTTCATCATAATTACGATTCAATTCCTTCTAGAACACACTTTACAGTATGAATTTTTAGAATTCAATGTTTTTTGATAATCTGGTACAAGTGCGTGCCCCCACTGTTGGTAACAACCAATTTTTCGTTAGTTCACACAGTAATTCATTTAATCTGTTGTTCATCTCTTCAATATAATTCTATAGTTTTAATTTTTAATTTAGTGCTGAAAACACGAGATGACAATATTCTGAGCACAGAATTAGAACAGGCGCAAATCATTTATTGTAATATGAAAATTTAACAACTGATTAATAGAGTTGTATTTTTTTTGGAACTAGAGATGTACGCGCGCGTATGGTTTTGCATGTGGCGCTATAATATGATTTTTCATTTCGTTTTATTAAAACGAAAATGGGAAATATGTTAACGTTTTTATTTAAAACGTTACATTGGATTTTTTTATAATGGATGGGAATGATTACAAACAATTGAAAAAAAGAATGTCGAATCTGACAGAAAAGTAACAAAATGGTGTCGCGCAGTCACTTATAAATAATGAACATCAACCGTTGATGTACTTTAGGGCCTAAAGTTTCGGCGGTTTAGTCCGTGCATTTAGCTGGGGAGCTACAGCACCGCGCCGGCTAGCGGTTGAGTGTCTTTGACGCAAGAGGAAGGTCTACCTTGTGATTTTCTTACGCGGACATTTTTATTTAACTCCAGTGTATCATGTCAACGTCGAAATGTAAGTAGGTTTCAACAGAACTAAGAAATAGCATGAATTACCAATGAATATGATGCAATCGTACATATTCGAAACTTGGGCCTAATTGGAAATCAAGCTTGCAATGGAGAGAAAGACGAATGGATAGAATGGAATTATCTCGTATACGTTTATAGTACATCTTTATTGTCGTAAAAAAATATATATGAATGTTCATCACTGGGTCAGAAAAATTCTTAACACTATTTTTTACTGACTGCAAACAGAAACACAGGGAAGATCGCTTAAAAATTGAGAATAGAATTAAATACGAACAGTAAAATGAAGTAATACTATCAAAAGTCATGGGAGTGACATTGTCACTGCCACGTAGCTCCAGTAGTTAACAGCTTACATGTGACAGTTCAGCTCAACACCTCATAAGTATCAGCATGCTCGCAGAATAACGTGTGATTATATATGCAGTAAGAATACTAGTTTTAAAAATGCATAAAAATGATGAAAATTTGTTTTCTTTAGAAATAAATCCTGCCTCAACTCTCCATGATTCCAGACATAATTATTTACTCATGAGAATCTTCAACGTTATTGACAAGATCATTCCTCCCAATGCTGGCTTTAGGCACTTGAACAAGTCTTCTTGAAAATTAATCAATGTAGGATAAATGCGTTCTTCATTTTTTCTGTGTCTACTTGTCGATGTTTTTCTAATTCAGGCAGTCAGGGGTATCTTCGACAATCAGAAATGGAGAGTCATTGTTCTCGTTCCAATCTTCTCTCAGATCTTCCTCACCTATTATCTTCAGAGTAACTCCATTGGTCCTCTGCTTAGTAATCTCATTTGCCTCCATGACCAACATCTTAGTTGTAGAGGTGAATGACACCTTCAGGAGCTCCAAATTAGGTGCATTCCTGATGAGTGTGATGAGCCCCTTATCGCCAATAGTGAAGCCAAAATCGCAATCCAATTTTTTCAAATTCTTCAATCCACCCAGGGGCTCATCTGTGAGGTACATGATGCCACTTACGTTGAGGACTTCGAGTTGAGGGAGTTTGGAGAGTTGTCTAACTGCTTTATCAGTGACTCCACATCTGTTGATTGACAAGGTCTTCAGATTCTGCGCGCAGTCTGAGAGCTGCACCAGGAAACTGTCGTTTACTTGATGGACAAAATCGAGAATCAAGGTCTCCAGATTTGTTAGGACATTTGCAGAGAGGAGTCCTGGGTTTGCACTGCAGTCGGGAAGAGCGAGGTACTTGAGATGAGTTTTCTGATTTATGGCGTTCATCATGTCAGAATTCAGAATGCAGTTGCTTATGTTGATGATTTCCAAGTTGATGAAGTTGTCGAATAACTGGAGAAATTACAATTGAGATTGAAGTAGTACGAACACCCTTTGATTTTCGAAGAGGATGATTGGAAATATGAATGAAAACGCTCAATGGGAATTTTTGCTGAATTCACAGTTCAGTATTATTAACAATAATTAATTGTGAAGTGGAAAGTAACACAGAGCCTTATGAAAAAATGACCGTTTTAACGTCACGAAAAATATCAGAATCGAAAAAAATCGTGAAATAATTTTGAAAAGAAATTAATAAATCAATTTCTCACACTCATTAAAGTCCGAATTTATCCAAAAAATTATCAATGACGAGTAATTTTTTTTGCACTTTAAATTTGCTTTTCATTCCCTTAAACTGAAGGTCTTCACCTTCTCATCGATGTCAAAAAAATCTTGGAATCGTTCATTACCTTAACCGCTGCAGGGGAGAAACATCCCAGATTAGCCCTGGTAACTGGTCTATTGTCTATTGGAATTCCGAACATATCACTCACATCATTCTGGGGTTCATTGAAGAACGCCCGAAGACGGAAGTATGTCAAGCTCTGTGCAGGCAGGGTGCGAAGTATTTTTTCAGTAAAAAATTCTCCCCCCTTCTTGGAATAGCCCAAGCTGAAGTTCTCCATTTGAGGAAAGAGCCCAGACCAGTCCCAGTCGTCAGGGTCAGCATCCCAGATGTCAAGTACTGTCAAATTCACGCAGTATTTACCAACGATTGGCATGAGCTCTGAATCATCAAGATGTAGTTCCTTCAAGTAAGGACCACATCGTTTCAAAATCACCTTAAGCCACTGGACAGTCATGTACTCTTTGGGCAGTTGATCGTAGTCGCTGGGCTCTCCCTCATCTTTGAAAAAATCGAGTTCCTCCACGTTCGCCCAGGCCAGTGGAGAAACTTCCTTCCATCGTTTGCAAACTGAGAATAAAAAATTAGGAGAGTAGTCAGTGAATGTTTACATAGTCGTTCCTTCATTCCACTGTGAATGATCAATTTTTCAGATCTACCTGTGTTGATCCTGAGTTTATCTGCAATTGGAAGATACTGGAATATCCTGGCCAAACACTTGTTGTTCAAATTGTTGATGAAATCGGGACCAGATAATTCCTGCGGTGGCTCGGTCTCCATTCTGCTTTGAGATGCCGCTTGTTCTGTGAAAAACATGCACTGTTGAAAATTTTTGACTGAAATTCACGGTGCGCTTGTTGAAACTTTTCAGCAGTTGACAGTTACACTGCATTTTCAAACAAATTTGACACTGAGTTTTCCAATTTTGTGGAAATGGCAATGGAATTTGTTATTTTCAATTCAATAATTTTATGGAAATTCATATAAATTAGGTAAATGTCTTCTTGAACTTTCAATTAACTGAAAACTCAGCGTAAACTGGGACCGAATATTCACGTTTTAATTGAAAATTCGGATAAATTTGAAAATTCATCAAATTCCCCGTCAATAAATTTGAATCCCATTTTGGAATGCTGTTTGTTCTGTGAAGAACAAGCGCTGCTGAAAAATTTTGGCTAAACTGACATTTCAAGGAAGTTGGACATTGAACATTCACAGTTTAATGAAAAAATGAATGGAATCTGCAAATTTCAGTTGCATAATTTTATGGAGAGGTTAGGACTTGATGTAAACACCTTAATATGTGAAGCTATGACAGAAATACTCACTCTCTTCATCCGACATAATGAGATAGAAACGTCGCGAATTTTTTCTGGATGTGAATGATAATGAAACGTCTCAATGAATGACGATAAACGATTTTCTGAAGGATCGAGAATAATATCGCGTTACTGTCGCTTATCCAACCAACGTGAGAGACACGAATCATTCTCTACTTAGAATCAATGACTCAACCAACGATGGCGCGGTAGTTCGAATAACAGTTTTAGACAGCGTAGGATATCTTCAGACATTCATCCCTCATTTACCTGCCGAAAATCAATATTGTGGCATGTAATCCACCCCTCCCCCCTCCTCCCCTCGTCGGGTATCCTAATCCCCTTTTACTTTCGTCTACCAGTCGGTCATAAAGCTCCTGGTGTCGCCAGACACTTCTCTCTATTGTCCCCCAACAGGTACAAGCTGTAGTCCGCAGGACCCACTGGGCATCAACAATTCCTAGGAATGTCAAATGTCGATTGAGCGGGGAGAGGGTGTGCGAAGAAAAAAAACTGTCTGGGCATGGACGCCAGTGGGTCTAGGTAGTTTTTAGTACGCAGTGAAACAGAAAACTATCGAGCAAATAACTAAACTCTCACTGAAGGAAAAAATAAAAGAATAAAGTGGTAGAGTGAGGTAAGCAGAGGAGTTATTTTTGTTTTACTCTACAGTATTATTCGGATTAAGACGATTTTCTTTCGATTTAAAGAATTTGAACGGAGATGTGATGCTCGAAGACAAATTATTAGCTTCATTAATTATGGAAAGACGGCGGAATTTTCGTAATTACCTTGTAAAATTAATTTATTTATTACGAAAAGTTTGCTATCTGCCGTAAATTCCGAGATATTATTGAACACTGACCGATAGTCAAAAGCGAGTTGAACCGTTTCACCGCTTCGCTACTGAATTAAAGTGGATACACTGAGAGAGAAATATTTTTGCCAAATAATTTACTTGAGAGACGTATTTACTTTCTCAATACCATATTTTCCCAGTCAATGCTCATTAGGTTTCAATTATGGCAATTATATTGCTCTAGATGATGATCATATTAGTTGTGTCCTTGAGTGCTCTCCATAATTACCAGCATTATAAAATTAATCGAAATTCTTCCCTCTAGAAAATAACAATTTTAGGTAAAATAAATAATCATTGGAGTTCATCCAAGGTCATGTGCAATACAGTCATCCTCTAGAGAAATATGACTGCCGAATCGAAGAAATACGATTTTGAAAAACTAAATTATTCCCTCAAGTAAATAAACATTTGGCAAAATCAATTTTTTCTGGATCGATATAAAACAAAAAATCCAAAACTTGAATTTAAATTTGAATTACAAAATTTGAAGGCTTTCATTCGACCGCAAAAAATCGCGCAAGTGTCCCATTCTCCGGAAAATCCAGTAATAAAAAATGAGTGACGAGCAATAAAATGTTCAGATGGAGAGAAGCCAACTGAACACTCCCTCGACGTCCAAAAATGGCGAGCCAGCAGGGAAGCGTCAAAGAATGCGGACTTCAGTGGACTCCGTATCCCTCAATCTTTGTATGAGAGACGCCCCCCGCGAACGTCAACAGCACCCGCCAAACTTGCCAGCAGTCATCAACCCCTCCAACCCCCAGACATCAACTCCCGCCGATCCCCCCGCTTCAAAACAACTCAACATCCGCCTCAATCAAATTCGCAAAAGAATGCACAATTTCTGTAAAGCAGAGCGCCTGATTCTGGAGGAGCGCGAGGCAGGCTCCAAAAGAATAATAACCGATCTGCAATTCTACCTGACAGGAGCCCTGAGGGCCATGCAGATGGCGCGTGGAGCACACACCGCCGCTGAATTCCAAAGAACGGAGCTGCAGCAAAAGAACACAGAACTCCTTACGGAGAACGCCAAACTGAAGGAATTTATATTCCAACAGACGTCAGCACACACATTGCAGCTGAACGCCGCGATGAGCAGAATAACGGAGTTGCAGCAGAATTTGAATGCGCTGTCGTCATCGCAGGGAGAGTTGAATGCGGGGAAAGTTGAGCTCGAGAAGACGCGGGAGAGAGTTCAACGGCTGGAAGCAGAGAAGACGTCGCTCTGGGTGCAGGTGCAGGACCTTCTGCCGAGGGCGGAGCGCGCGAAGGAGCTCGAGGAGGAGTTGGTGCTGGCGGACAAAATAATTACGAATCTCCGGGAGAATGTTACGGGGGAGAAGTCCGCCGGGGGTGAGGCGTCAGACGGAAAAAAGGGAGACAGTCCCGAGGTGATTGATGTTGAACGCGAGGAGTCGAGCCCCAGACTCGATGGGGAAGTGACAATAGTGAGCGAGACGGTGGCGGTGGCGTCGGACGCCTCAGGGTGCGATGACGAGGCGGCAGCTTCGAACGGCGCAGACACTTCCGGGGAAATGCCACCGGGAGGCGAGTCTCCGTCGACTTCCGAGGGCGACGCGGCGGTCGAACCTGAAGAGGAGGAGGACGCCGAGCCAGACCGTCCGATCTGGGTGGGTGAGGCGTACGTTCTGGCTTCGCACGAAAAATTCTTCGAGATCAAGTGGAGGTCACATTACGAGCAGAGGGGGACCCACAAGTTTTTGTGCAAAAAGTGCAAGCACACGACGACCGGGCGGGGGACCATGGAGGATCACATATGGGTTAATCACTACGGGGGGACGTTCAAGTGTCCTTCCTGCATTAATTACGCTTTGCGATCGAGATATAATATTAAGAGGCACATGCACACTTGCCATTGATCGAGGAAGGGGTGGAGTGAGAGGGAAAATGGATTTGCGGAAAAATTATGGGTTCCGCGGGAGAATATTTGATTGTGCACGAAGAAAATTTAATAGAAAAACGTATCGAAGTCGTTGGAGAATTTTATTGGATTTATATTGAACTTTCTATTAGGGTTTGGCCGATTTTATTGAAATGTTCTTGTTCCCTTCAGATATTTTCTATAGAATTCCCTCGGCTCAATGTTCCCAACTTTTTTTCATTCGATTTTTCTGAATGAAGCGTTATGGAAATTCCATGTTACAGTCTGTAATGAAGTGTTATGTAATTCCAATTCTATTTCTGCCTCGAGAGAAATGATTAGGAGAATTAAAATACATGTTGATAATAGTGGTCTTTTAGGAATCTTGTGATATAATATATCTCAAATTGATGAACAAACGAGTCCGTTCCCTATGAACGAATTGCTTTTAACTTTGAATAACTACTTCATTGAAAATTATTTTTCTTTTTCCAAATTTCAAAATTTAAAAGGATGAATCATTGGAAATTGATAGTCGCTCTTCGGAAATGAATAAATTCAACTAACAAATGTTTCATAAAAAAGACTCAAGCATTCTTATTTTTCATCTTCTCCATTTACTGACATTGCGGTGAAACCGCTTCGTGACACACGGAGAGAAATGTTCGGTAAAAATTACGGAACTGACAATTCGCTCACCCGATTGCGGAATCGACTCACAAAATTTAAGTGACGGTATCGTAATTTTTCACAGGAGATTCAGGTCAAAAATTACGAAACGCTGTGTAAAAATTCCGTGACAGTTCCGTAAAATTTCCTACACCCACATTTCACTCCGGAATTACGGAGAAGATAATTACGCAAAGATAATTTTTATGGAATATTTCTCTCCGTGCACTCCACGTGCTGCGAGATTTCAGATCAAATTTGTTTCCTGGAAATCATGAAAATTCTCACCAGCGCCAGCAAAAAATTAATTTCAAAATTAATTTGTGAAACCCTTGCGCTTTCCGGACACTTCCCCTGCGAAGTCCGAGCTACCCTCGAGTCCGCAGCGCCCATTGGCCAAGTGCAGTCCACCCAGTGGTGGGGGAATGAGTGCAAATTAGGTGGAGTGGGAGTATGTCCTGGGGCCAATCCTTGTGACTACAGTTTAGTCGAACCATTAGTTCTTTGACACCAGCAGCAAACAGCAGATCAAGGATTGCATTGCTAAAATATCACGGCGTCGAGACATTTTAGTCATCACTACAAAAATAGAAGAAGAAGAAGAAGAAGCTAGAGTTGAGGTAATTGAATAAATCTAACTTTAACGATGTCCAAGTATCTTTTACAGTTTGATACAGGCCACACTATAGATTCAACCCTTTTCAATCATCAATTGTCAATTTAATTGCGTGAGAACACTGTGACCAGACTAAAATCTAGATGATTCAGGAAGAAATAAAAATCCCACATAAAAATAAATAAAAATAAAAATATAAATTTTCAGATGGACTACTCGAAAAATGGCCGTTCCCCATCAGACGTTGACTCAGCCGCGAAGCGTCGTAAATCATACAGCTCAGTTAGCTCCTCACCGCCCAGTTTTCCAAGCAATCATTGGCACCCTGAATCCCCATGGGCAACTTCAAACTTCCTAGAAATTATGCTCCCCTACTCCAGATTACCTTACATTGTTGAAACCGATAACCGTCTCAATGAAATTCGAGAAGAAATGAAAAATCTTTACGAGCAAGAAACTCAACTCCTGATCGACCAAGAAGAGTCCTCGAAGCGTGAAGTGCAGCAGCTGCAACGGCTCCTGACTGAACAAATACGAGAGAATAATGAGCTGCGACAGAAGATAACGGATACGCTGAGCGAAAACATACGACTGCGAGAGCTGATATTTCAACAGACGACTGAAGGTACATCGGAGAGGAGAGCCCCTGCTGATAAGATAACTGAATTGCAGCTGAATTTAAACTCGGATTCATTAGCTCAGGAAGAGATCGATTTCCAAATGAATGAACTGAAAGACGCGAAAATGAAAATTCAGGAGTTGGAGTCAGAGAAAATATCTCTTCGGGAGGAGCTTCAGGAGCTGGCGCCACGGGCGAAAGTTGCTAAAGAGCTTGAGAAGAGATTGCAATTGGCGGAGAAAATTATTTCGAAGCTCCGAGGAGTTGATGCGAAAGAGGAGCCCATCGCGGGCGGATCATCTGTTGGAGATGGGGAATTAGGAGTGGATAGAACTGGAGAAGAAGTAATGGGTGAAGAATGCGAGACTTCCGGCCAGAACAATAATGAAGGTGAGGTGCAGAATGGGGAGACGGCAGAGGCCTCGGAGAATGAGTCACGAGACTCAGACGATAATAATTGCCCTTCTGAGACAATATGCGATGATACTGATGTCGAAAGGACGGAGGGAGAGTCTGATGATGCTCAGAGAGCGGGTGCTTCAGAGGAGTGTGGGGAAGACACACCAGAGGGCAACACGCACGGAGGAAATTAATAGAAGAACGTAGGGAATTCGTTAGACAATTCTATTGAATTTTCTGTCGGTTTTACATTTTAGTCTGTCGAGATATTTTCTACAGAATTCCCTCGGCTCGAAATTTCCAAGTTTTTTTCATTGCATTTTTCTTTTGTTCAAAATCAAACAAAAAAAATAGCGAATTCCCTAGACAATTCTTTCGGATTTTTTCAACTTTTTATAGAATAAGTCAATAGAACAGATTAGAATAAGAAAATATTCTGTAGAATAAGTCAGTAGAATTTGATTTATAGGCGCACTGAGAGAAACAATTTGTTCTGCTGCAAAATGATAATTTCCATAGTTGTAATTGTTCTTGTAAAACATTTATTTATCTTTCGGATAAATGCATAAATTCCACAGGGGATTAGATGAGGCTCCGGTTTATCAAGTAAATGATATTGAGTATGGTATATATTTTTACAGTAAACACTTGTAATTTTCATGGAATAAATGATAATTTTATAAATTTTTACACTTGTGCAAACTTTTCTTCATAAAAAAATCTAATAGAAAAATTAATTTATAATCTGACAGAAATATCATAGAGAAATGCAGTACATCCGATAGAGAATAGCATCGGGTTTCTATTAAAAATTTCTTGAATATTCACTTTATGGAAATGAAAGTGAATATTCATCTTCTCATACAATTTTAATAAGTTCATCTTCTCATACAATTTTAATAAGTTGTATGAGAAAATAAAAATTTTTTCAATTTTTTCTATAAAATATATTTTTTCAAACAGTTCTTTCAACAAAAACCACGGGAAATTTTCATCTGTGGAGTATTAAAATATAAACTCCTAATTCTGTATCGTCCGAACATTTTGAATTGTTCCGCATTATGGCCGTGAGTGGAGGGGACTGTTCTCTCATTCGCAGACGACAGAATTGCGAATTTGAGGTTAGTTTTAATCAGGCAAACGTTGACGAGAAATTGCAACTTACTCGCCCTCATAAACAGAGTCGCTTCGATCCACAAGTGAGTAATAAAATAATATGCGATATTACAATAACAACGTCCATTTCATTTTTTTATTTTTTATTGATGATGAAACAGAAATGGAAAGCATAATATTCCATTTGGTCATTCTTGGCGTCGGGAAATGGACTCTTTTGACGTTTGTGCTTCCTAATGAAAGCATTGTCATCTCTGAACTAGAAAAATTTGCGGTTGTTTTTGTTAGAATAATTAATTTCGGGCTCAAGAATGAGAATACGATGTTTTCAGACTACAGCCGTATGCACGTGACCGATTGTTTGGATCCAAACGGAAGCACTAAAATCGTTGTATTTTTACATTTCCTAATTTCGCTTGGAAATTATGTAGAATTATCTGAAACGTAAAAATACGAAGTTTGACGATCCCCTTGCATTACAGAAATCACAGTACCCATATTTCGCGCTAAAAATCCATTTATCAACCTTTGACAATGAAATAATTAGAGATGCAAAATGACCGTCACTTTTCAAATCACATTATGACCCCAGAATTACGGTCATGCGACGCGAAAATTTTCCAACTACAAATGATGGTCACAAACAATTTGAAAGCAAATTGTAGTCAACCCACCTGTAATGTATAATGACGGTCATAATTAATTTCGAATTTGTGAAGGGTCACATTAAAAAAAATAGTCTAATCTATATAAATGAAAAATCGCCGGGATGATCATCTCAAAATGCGGAGTAGGCTAATACGAAATGAATTTTAATAAAAATTGATAAAGAAAATATAAAGCTCCATCTGTGTAAATGAAACATGACTGTCATTTCGGGAATTGCGACCGTCATATGATGGGTCATTTCACGGATTTGCACCTCTAGAAATAATGACCCTTCCAGATGGATGAAAATAAGAGTAAGATGTCCCCATCGGCTCAAGACGGAGCGACACATCACAAACGTCGGAAGTTGGATGATCCAGCAGACCCTTCGAACCGATCTGGGACCTATCACTCTCAAGCAACGAATATGACCCTTGATAAACGATCACCACCAATGCCAGAGATTAAAACTCTCGATCAGATCCGCGCAGAGATTACCAATCTCTTTGACGAGGAGCGACGACTCCTGAAGGAAGAGATCATTTCTCAAAAGGAGCTGCAGAAGAATCTAGCGCTGCGCCTAGCTGAATTGACAAAATGTTGTCATGAAGCAAAGGCTGCTCAGGTATCAGCAGAAGCGAGAATGATACAACTGGAAACTGAGCTGGATATCAAGATGGCAGAGCTCGCGGATTTGCGTCAGAGTATTCAAGCCGCGCAAGATGCTGCGCAGCAGAATGCTGCTGTGAACAGAATATCTGAGCTGCAAGAGAAAGGCAAATCTTGTTCGCTGGCTCAAGAGCCCGCCAGCCGTCAACCAACTCCTCAGTCAATCGTCAATGAGCTCGACGAAGCCAATTTGAAAATTCGAAAACTGGAGTCCGAGAAAATTGCCCTTTGCGAGGAACTTCTGGATCTGCTTCCAAGGGTGGAACGTGTTCACGAACTTGAGGAGAAACTACGATCGATCAACAGTGCCGATGGTACTCCTCGCAAAGTTGTCAAAAGTGTCATCCTTAGCGATGATGATGATGACGAGGTGGCGCCAGAAAAATGTCATGTTGCATCTCAGACTTGCTTGAAAGATTTTAAGAGGAAAAGCTCCCGTCTGCTCGAGAAGCAGCACAAGGGTGTAGCACAGCGCATAGCAGAATCGACAAAATGTCGTCAGGAAGCAAAGGCAGCCCAGGCATCAGCAGAAGCGAAAATGACACAACTGAAAACGAAGGCTGAATCTGACTCCAGTTCATTGAAGCTTGTCTCTTCAAATCCAGCGAAGAAGACGAATAGAAGAAAGGGAAGACGCAGAGCAAATGCATCTTCCAGTTGTAAATCTGATAATGGCGACAGGAATGCATCGCAGACGCGGAGGATTTGGGCGGGCGAAATACCCGTTGTGCCATCGGATCCAAAGTTCTTCGAGATTAATTGGGAGACACAGTGCAAACAGCGGAGGGGCAAACAGTTCTCGTGCAAAAGGTGCAAGTACACCTCGAAGGCACGACTGGCTGTGGAAGATCACGTATGGGTTTGCCATTTTAATGGACGATTTGGGTGCCCTCTTTGTCCAGATATTGTCACCAAATGGAGGTATGATACGAAAAGACACTGGATGGAAAAACATCACGAGTGATTGGAAATCTGTTGTTTTTTAATGCAAAATGATGCACGTACGGTATATTTCTACGAAAAATTTAGCGCATTGGTTAATTAATTCCATTGAATTTTTATTGAAAATTCTATTAGTTTTATGAAGATTGTATTGACGAAATAAGTATTGCATGAGATGATATAATTTTATTGATCTTTTATATGCAATATATTGTATTAAACATTCCTATTTTTAAAAAATCGTGAAAAACGACGACATTTTTCACTAGAATCGACGAAATTAATAGAAATTTCAATACAATGCAATAAAATTTTCTAGCGAATGCACTAGGTTTTTTCATGAAATTTTTTCGTGCACGTAAACTGCGATCGTTGAGTTATCCAAGGTGTTTATTTTATGATTACTAGAATAAAGATCTATAATTCTATCAAATTTCCCAGTGATGTGAATGAGTTTAGTGGATATTGCTGGTTATACAAACAATGTTCGTAGTTAAATTTTGTTTTCAGTTTGATATTCTTAGAATTTTATTCATTGTAAAAATGCAAGGTCCCTCGATACCATCCACGCCGAATAGCCATCTTAATCTAAAAGATATTTCTGGAGTACAAAGTATAACGATTACATGAATGAATAAATAAATTCATGATCTAAAAAAATATTCATTACTTCCGCCTTTGAGCTTATCCCACAATTATCTTTCAAAATGAGTCTTGAGGATACGTACAAAAAAATTTAATAGAAAAACCTAGCGAATTCGCTAGACAATTCAGTAGCGAAGTGATAGAACGGTACAAGTCAATTTTGACTATTGTCCAGTTTTCAATGAATATCTCGGAATCTAACGGAAATAGCAAAATTTTTGTTATACACTTTTTGTAGAGCCGATTGAGAGCTACAACAAATGTAGTTATGAAAATTTCGAACGGCAGTGACCTTCCCAGTATACAGTAGACTCCCGTTATATTCGCACGCATTGCTCTACCCCTAATATGCACCCAGTTTTTTGTAAATTTACTAATAGAGTATTTTATGCTTACGACCTCTTTCAAATGAGGCGACCACTTTTAGCGGCATACACTGAGAAAAAAAATACCTTTGCCAAGTAAATTTACTTGCCACAAGTAAATGTATATAAATATTTGCATTTTAAATGTGTGAATTTTCTCGTAGTTGGTAAATTTACTTGGCGAAAGTAATTTTTTTTCTCAGTGCATGTTTACACGGATATGAAGAAGAAACAATTGTCAGACAAACCAAGAACTCGGGGATTCCCTCATTATGCGACGACTTGAGGGTTAATAGTAGCCGAGTGCTACCATCTTTGAGCTTTTCAACTAACACATTAATGAAATTTTTTATCAGCAGAGTGTAATGGTCAACAAGGAAGACTCCATCGTCGATAATTCAGATTTATTCAGACACTTTAAAGAATATTTAATTGGTTTCTTTCGTTCCATTTTTCTTTTTTTTTTTATTAAAAAAATCAAATAATGAAATTTGGAAAATTTGAGCCGAGGAAATTCTATAGAAAATATCAGAATAGAATAAATCTAATAATTGTTTAGCGAATCCGCTAGGTTTTTTATCAACTGTTTTCGTACGTGTCATAAGCAACCACAACAAAATTATTTAATTGCCGCTCATAACGATATAATAATACAGGTAAAAACAGAATAATTGAGATGCAGCTAGACATGAAATGCCATTCGAGTTCTTTGTTCTACAGGTGCATTCAGGATTTTATCGCTCTCGCTCGTACTAATTTTAAGACTGCTGTATTATAAGTAATCCGAGTTGTGTTTTTTTTATTCACTACTCTGACTGTATATGTATCAAGTTCTTATTCCTCTTGATGACTCATAAATGTGCATAATATTTTCACTACCGCGAAATGAAGGGATTGCGCCTGCGCATCCGCTAGATAATTTAATCGAAAATTGTATCATCTTTTTGTCTATTCCATTAAAAACTTCCGCAGCGCTTCCGCGCGTTTTTTTTTTCTAATAGAAATGCTTAGCAAGAAACCAAAAAAACTCGGAAAATCAATAAAAAAAATATCGCGTCAGAGTGAATTGTCCGAAAAAATCGAATTCCAATTATTTTTTCTGTGTAATATTTTCTATTGAACATTTCTTTTGAAAAAAAAAATGCGCGGAGAAGCCGCGGAATTTTTCAGGCTTCACCAGCTTTTTCTATGATTTTTTTTCCAAGTGTATCTGCTCTCATCAATCCGTGGATCGAACGTTTCATCAATTACGTTTTCTTAAAAAATAATTCGAGTCGTATGAATCCCCCCGCACTCTGCAGATAAACGCCTGAATGCAGGTCGTCCCCTCCATGTGTTGAACGGAATGTTGTGAGAGATTAGAGTGGCCTTATGCCTTATGACTGCGCGTCATTCGTTTCTCCAGTATCCAACGTTCACCACGTTCCGAATGGCAACGTAATTTCGGTTTTCTCCTCTCCCCGGAATCAATAAAAAAAACAGTAGTTTCATTGACTCGGAGTTAGATGCTTCAGTTAATGAAAATATTTCAAGTATTGTCATTCTTTTCCTGAAATTTACGAAATACGTTGACTATCATAATTTGTGGGTAGAATGTCTGCTGGCGTGTTACTAAGCAAGGATCTACCTGACATTGAAGTGAGTGGACCTTATCTTATTTAATGTTGATGTCGTTATAATCTCATTGGACTCAGTGGATTTTATCTTATTTAATGTTGATGTCGTTATAATCTCATTGCATCATTCATAAAATTATCACACACGACAAAATTTAATACCAAAACCTGATGAATTAATCAATTCTGTAGAAAATTTCATTGGGTTTCTGGTAAACTTCTATTGTCTTTTGCCGATTCTATTGGATAATTGAGTTCTGTTTTTTTTCTACTGAAAGCTACGATTTTGTTCAAGAGAATCCGTGAAATGCAAAAACCAATATATTTTTAACAGAAATCCAATCGAAATTAGATGAAATATTTTCTAGTGATTTTAGATTTTTCCCTTAAATTTTTTTGTACGTGATTTCGAGAATTTCCACCAACACATGATAACGGAATTCACTGAGACAAAAAAAAGTTTTCTCGAATTCGTAAAAAAAAATATTTTTTTGTGTCAAACATTCATGTTTGACTATTAAATTCGCATAAAACAATTTATTTTTTGCTAATTTTTAAATAACGATTTTGTTGATCCAAACAAGACTTGTTTAAGAGCTTCTTTATTTTTCTGTCCGTGTTGACAAAAATTTCGTTTTTAGAATCTTCTGCGTCTCAATCCCAAGGTGAGAGACTACACGAATTTAGTACCGTCCGTGGAAACTAAGAAGAATAAGCTCCACTGGAAACGAAACGTTGAAGAGAAATGCAATGTAAGTGTGACCTCTCATTCGTAAAAATAAATCCTAATATCCTAATATTAGATCCGTGTTGAAAAATAGAAAAAAAGACCTAAATTATTGCCTAGAAAATCTTATTTCTTGATGAAAAGAAAAAACAATAGAATGAAAAAAATTTTAATATTTCGAACTGAGGAAATTTCTATAAACAATATCTCAATAAAATAAGTTGTATATAAAAATATCAATAGAAATCCTATAGAATTGTCTAACAAATTCGCTAGATCTACGAATTTTTGTTAAATTCTTCGCAAATAAGTTTGCTGAAATATTTCCATAGACTCACTACAGCCAGAATATCGTAAATTCTCCCAAAAAAAAATCATTACCCAAAGTTCACTTATTATTCAGACCTGCACCTTGACAAACAACTTCGACGACATAAAGCACACGACCCTGAGCGAGCGTGGAGCCCTGAAAGAGTCCGCCCGCTGCCTGAAATGCGCGGACGCGCCCTGCCAGAAGGGTTGTCCCACCCAGATCGACATAAAGTCCTTCATAACCTCGATATCCAACAAGAACTACTACGGGGCAGCGAAAGAAATCCTCTCGGATAATCCGCTGGGCCTGACCTGCGGGATGGTATGTCCAACGAGTGACTTGTGCGTGGGTGGATGCAACCTAGCAGCTACCGAAGAAGGGGCCATCAACATCGGAGGTCTCCAGCACTTCGCTGTGGACATCTTCAAGAAGATGAACATCAAGCAGACTAGGATTCCGGGACAATCCGTCAGCCACGCGGAGACGAAGATCGCCCTTATCGGTTGTGGCCCTGCGTCCCTCACCTGCGCCACATTTCTGGCGAGGCTGGGGTACAACAACATCAGGATCTTCGAGAGGGAGAGCTTCCCGGGGGGTCTGAGCTCCTCCGAAATCCCGCAATACCGTTTGCCCTACGACGCCGTCAACTTCGAGATCAAGCTCGTTAAAGATCTTGGAGTAGAGATCGAGTGCGGAAGGTCGCTTTCGACAGACGACCTGACAGTCCAAAAGCTGAAAGACTCCCGCTACGAGGTCATCTTCCTCGGAATCGGACTCCCCCAGCCCAAGCTGATCCCAATCTTCGAAGGCCTCGACGAACAGATGGGCTTCTTCACTTCGAAGAGCTTCCTGCCCCGAGTTTCTAAAGGCAGCAAGCCCGGAATGTGCGCCTGTAAGACGTCGTTACCAGCCCTCCACGGCAACGTCATCGTCCTTGGAGCAGGTGACACGGCCTTCGACTGCGCGACATCGGCCCTCCGCTGCGGCGCCGCAAGAGTCTTCGTAGTCTTCAGAAAGGGCTTTACAAACATTCGGGCTGTTCCAGAGGAGATGGACCTGGCCCGCGAGGAAAAATGCGAGTTCATTCCTTTCCAATCTCCCCAGAGAGTGATCCTCCATCCAAAGACCAGGAAAATCATCGCGATGGAGTTCGCCAGGACCGAGCATACTGAGAACGGCGAGTGGATTGAAGACCCCGACCAGATAACCCGACTGAAGGCAGACTTCATCATCTCCGCTTTTGGATCGGGTCTTTCCGACACCAAGATCACCTCAGCGATGTTCCCAGTAAAGCTGAATAGATGGGGTCTTCCTGAGGTGAACGCCATCACCATGGAGACTTCCCATCCAGGCGTCTTCTGCGGCGGTGATCTGGCCGGAGTAGCCCAGACGACCGTTGAATCCGTTAACGACGGTAAAGTCGCTGCGTGGAGTATCCACAAGTACATCCAGGAGTCTCACAACGAGAAGGTCCCGGAGACCCCTTGCCTCCCAAAATTCCATACGGATATCGACGAAGTCGATCTCAGCGTCGAAGTCTGCGGTCTTCATTTTGAAAATCCATTTGGCCTCGCCTCAGCGCCACCTGCCACCACCAGCGCCATGATCCGCAGGGCCTTCGAGGCCGGCTGGGGTTTCGTCGTGACGAAAACCTTCAGCTTGGACAAAGACCTGGTCACTAACGTCTCTCCCAGAATAATAAAAGGCACGACTTCCCGTCATCATTACGGCCCGGAGCAAAGCAGCTTCCTCAACATCGAACTGATATCCGAGAAATCCGCGGCGTACTGGTGTCGGAGTGTGACGGAACTAAAGCGGGACTTCCCCGGAAAAATCGTCATTGCGAGCATCATGTGTTCGTACGACGAAGCCGATTGGACGGAATTAGCGAAGTTGGCTGAGTCAGCTGGGGCTGACGGTCTGGAGTTGAACCTCTCGTGCCCCCACGGCATGGGGGAGTCTGGGATGGGTCTGGCGTGTGGTCAAGACCCGATTTTAGTCCGGGACATCTCCAAGTGGGTCAGGAAGGCCGTGAAAATTCCGTTCTTCGTGAAGCTGACGCCAAACATCACTGATATCGCTTCGATTGCGAAGGCAGCTCACGAAGGTGGCGCCTCCGGCGTATCCGCCATCAATACGGTTTCCGGGCTGATGGGCCTCCACGGAGATGGCAGCCCCTGGCCAGCCGTCGGCAGCAAGAAGCTGACGACTTACGGGGGCATGTCCGGAAATGCCACGAGACCGCAAGCACTGCGAGCCATCTCAACAATCGCGAAGGAGTTACCGGATTTTCCGATCATGGGAATTGGAGGGGTGGACTCTGCGGATGTGACGCTTCAGTTCTTGCACTGTGGCGCTTCCGTCGTGCAGGTGGGGAGCGCCATTCAGAACCAGGACTTCTCGTTGATTGAGGATTACGTGACGGGGTTGAAGGCTCTGCTGTATCTCGAAGGAAAGGGGTTGAACGGCTGGGATGGACAGAGTCCCCCGACGATGAGGCACCAGAAGGGAAAGCCGGTTCTTCATCACGCGCTTGGGAAACATGTGCCCTACTTCGGGGAGTATCAACTGATGCGGCTGAAAGCGGAGGCGGAAGTCAAGGCCAGGTCAGATCCGCTGGCGGTTGATCGCGATCGAAATGAAGGGGTTGAAATGACGGATTCAGGGAAGGGTCTAGATGTTCCTAAACTGAAAAGTGTCATTGGGAAGGCGTTGACTCATATTGGGCCCTACAAACAGCTTGATAACACACAACAGGTGGTCGCGCTGATTGATGACGACATGTGCATCAATTGCGGCAAGTGCTACATGACTTGCGCTGACTCGGGGTATCAGGCCATCGAATTCAACGCGGAAACCCATATTCCGCATGTCAATGACGACTGCACCGGGTGCACCCTGTGCTTATCCGTGTGTCCAATCATCGATTGCATAACGTAAGTCTTTTGTATTTCCATTATCCGGGGTAAATTTTTTGGTCGGGATTTTAGTCGGGTTCAGAGTCATTGACGCTTTTATTTTTATTAAGGATGGTGCCAAAGACTATTCCGCATGTTGTGAAACGAGGAGTGTCACCGGCTGGAGGGGAGATCAGAAATGGTGTGAAATAGGCACAGTAGTGAGGCAGAATACTCGAGAATTATAAAGGCATGGTTTTTCATGTAAATTTATTGCACCAATTTATACTATTAATAAAGATTTTTCGAGGTCTTCTAGTAATTTGGATTGTCGAACCATTGGAGACGCTTCGGCTGAGTCGTGTCGAGATTGTATGCCAAGCATTTCTTCTCGAATATTTGTTTTCTGGAAATTTAATGCATTATTAATAGAAATAATTGCTAACGAGAACTACTGAAATTCGGGGAAAACATTGGGTCATGAATTCTCAGCCAAAAGAGGATGGAGAAATCTGAAACATGGCTTGAAAAAATTATTCATTCTGTAGAAACCGGATGAGGTGAGTTGAAGGTGATCTGGAGAGGCTGAATAATTTTAAGAAAGGTTTAAAAGCACGATGTGGAGGCGCAGCCATCTTTGAAGTCCCTTGCGGGGGGGGATCCAAGCAAGATGGCGGCACCCACATCTGTTATCTGTTATCCTCTGCAGATTACTCTGAACTCGAATTCGATAGAAAATTCTAGTCGAAAATTCTAATACAATTGGACTTGCACTGATAATTTTATTAGTTTTTGGCCAATTCTATTGAAGAATTCTACAACTTTCTTCAATTAAATTTTTTCATGGCGCAAAGTTTTCTCCGCATTTCACTAGTTTTTCTCTTGCTTCCGAGGCTTCTTGAAGAAAAAGCTAACGCTTTTCGTAAGGAATTTAATAGATTTGTTATTATATGCGAATTTTATTGGAACCCCAATCTATCTATTAGAATGGTATGAAAGAATTCGATTGATGTTTTGTGCCGATTTCTTCTGAAAAGTATGCAACTAATAATTGATGGAAAAAATTTAATAGGTTTCAATTTTCCTACGTCACGTACAGATTTAACGTCATAAATTTTTTGGAACAACATTATGGAATTATTGGATCTATTACCGGTCCCTCCGGGCACAACTAACGATCGGATAATCGCAGGTGAAGCATTGTGGCCTGAGTATGTTGAAGTATGTGTTCCCAATACTGCTGGATACTATACTATTAGCTCTTTTCAGACACTGAAAAAAAACATGGTCACAGCCACAGGCAGATCTAGAATGTGTTCACCAATTACGGAGATTATTTCGAGTGAAACTATCAAATATCGACATAAACACCTGGTGAATATTCCATTATTCCTCAGTGGTCCGTATCTCCCGCTACTGGGGATCTCAGTTGGACACTCGTCGTGACTCCTACAGCAGGCGTCAGTGTGATCAAAAGGGCCTAAGAAACTGGAGTTGGGTGCGATGTCACCAGCTCCGCACCAAAGGGTCCCTGAATGAAACATCGAGCTTTAGAAAAATGTTTTTATACACTGAGAGAAAAACGATAAAGTTCTCAAACAAGTCTCACTTGTGCCAAGAAAATAGTTTTTGAAAATTATCAAAAAAGGATTTTTTTGTGCCAAACATGCAGAGTGCGCCGGAATGAAAAATTTTTCTCGCAAAAATAGATTTAGTAGTTCAATAAAAATTGCATTCTCTGTACACGCAAGAAATGTCAATTCTAGCACTGCTCCTTCGTTATTCGATACTCCCATACGTATTTTGCTCCCGAAAAATCCTTGTTTTATGCGAAACAAGGGCTAGTAATTTTTCGTTTCGGTTGTCTAATAATCACAGATAAGAAATGAACCCTTAAATGAAACAATAATAATGATATGATAGTAATTTTGTAACTTAGGAATAAAATATTTGTTGATAATTTCCCTCTATATGAGATATTTTCATCCTGAAAAGGCACTGTCTGGTGTGAATTATCCGCCTCTTGAACCAAATATTTCGTTGCCGTCGAAAGCAGAACAATTATTCACGTTTGAGACTTTCAAATTCGAACCAAACAAATTCTTTTTTGGCAATTTTCAACTAGCGATTTTGTTGGCCCAAACAAGACTTGTTTGACAACGTGTTTGTTTTTCTCTCAGTGTACGTTCTCACTCATAATTACCTGGAAAAATGGCGTGAACCTGTATTTTAAATCTATCCAGAACCGAGCTGAACGTGTCGACTAAGGGGTCGGAGCTGCCGTCCTCATCACCACCCGAGACATCTTTGAAAATCCCTCCCAAGCCCTGGATGAGTCGCTCGAGACCACTCCGATAGGTCTCCACTTCCTTTCCTCCAGTGGTGTCCGGATCGCACTGATCCTCACCTCTTACTCCATCATGCTCTAGCAGCAGAAGAATAGCAACGAACAATAGCGCATTTTTCCGCGTCGAACCTAACATACTCCGAAGGATTCTTATCAAGTACTAAGTCACTGAAAAAAAACGGTTATCGCAATATAATGGGTATATAGCCCCCAGAGACTTTTATACCGGCGTTGAACAATGTGTCCGGTTGCAGCACGCTCATTATTATAATTTTCATGTTTTTTTTGTTTTCCATGTTTTTCCAATGACATTATCATTGACAGTGACATAAATTCTGATATACCTGTGGCATTAACTCAGAGAGCCACCGAATAATGATAAACATGAATTCAAGGTATTTCTTCATTCTCTTCTGGTGGTCAATTATCTTAGGGTCAATTAGGGGGTTGGGATTAGTAATTGCGCGGATGGGAAGATTGAGGGGAGAAAAGACTGTTAGAATTCTATGGAATTTAGTCAATAAATCCAGTAACTTCGCTGCCAAATTCTATTGGACATCTATCAGTTTTTGGACGATTTTATCGAAAAATTCTCCAGTTTTTCTGCAGATTTTTTTCCAATAGATTGCTTAAATCCTCATGTGCATAGGAATTTAAGAAATCAATAGAAAAACTTAGCGGATTCGTTAGAAAATTCTATAGGATTTCTATTGAACTCAAATTCTATTCATTTTTCCATAAAAATCCTCAAGCGATCAACTTTAAAGAGAAAAAAAAAATCAATGTCACTAACGTTTTTATGTTATGACATAGAATCGCAAAGTAAGGAAGTGGAGTTCCCCCGTGGACATTTACTGTGTCACAAAGTAATTCGTAAGATAAGTCTGCCCATGTTTATTCATCCGTACAAAACACAATTTGTATCCTTCATTAGGTATTCATTTATTTTACCAAAGTAGTCGTTAGTAATACTAAATTCGGAATGGAAAATTCAGGCCCGTTGATAGTAAGCAATATTTTGGTATTTATTTGTCTCAGGGATATTCATCAGGCGTTGACGTGTGGAATTTTCCATATTTCCAGGGATTATAGTATTTGTGGTTTTGAATAGAAGTTGTGTAATCGTTCAAATTTAAGTTTCTGTTTTCATGAGAATTTTTTGGGTTAGGGTAACTGTCTAAAATTTCTAAAAAAAACTTCAAACTCTGGCTAAATCCTGACTAAACCCTGATTAAATCCCGGCTGAACCCTGATTACACTTTGATTAAAGTCTGAAGGAAGTCTGAATGTAGGAGCATTTGAAAGAACGAAATAATACGCAAAACTTTATGACATGAAAAACGAGAAGATGAGAATAGTAAAATGAGAATGCAAAAAAAGAGAATCCATTCGGATGCAAAACGATAATTTATTATTAGCAATAACTATACTCATCATTTACAAAAAATGCAATTATCCACGTGTTTTTGATTTTTTATTGGCTATTGGGGTACTGTTGTACTTTTGAGAAGCGTAAAAAAAGAGTAGGACAGTCGGAGAATCTGAAATAAGACATGTTATCAATTTTTCATTTATTCCTTTCATTTAATCTTCAAAGAATTTCTGAGAGAAGTTCAATTATGTAAAATTTTTTTCGTGCGTGAAATAATAGAAAGAGTCCTGAGGCATTCGCTAGGGAATTCTGTCTGTAACTTTATAATCTTTGCTATCCAATATAGAAGTCTCTTGTTTAGATTTTTTAGTATGAGAAGAAAAAAACAACGAAAAACCCTATAAAATTTAAATGATTTATATTCAATCAGTTTTCAACCATAAATTTATCTCTAGAGAATATCTATTCAAAAAAAAATGATTTGCTGTGGAAAATCCATTGACTTTTTTCTAATCAATGCTTCTCAATAAAAAAATCGAAGAACAACTGTGCAATAAAATAGAAATAAAAAATACGAATAGAATTCCTTAGCAGATGTGTTAGACTGCACTGACAGGAAATTATTTCTGCGAAAAATTATATGTTCTCCTGAGGAGATCTTTGACGCGTTGAATCACTTTACTTGTGGACAAAAAATAAAGTTTCCACCAAAACATGATAATTTTCGTAGTAGTAATTGTTCTCGTGAGACATTTATATCTTTCCGGTAAATACGTTCGTTCTACAGAGAATTACATGAGGCTCCGGTTTTATCAAGTCACTGATATTGAGTAGTCTATATCTTTGTGAATAAACACTTATAATTTCCATGGAACAAATGATAATTTCAAGAGGAAACTACAATTTTCTTGCCGATAACTGTGTTATTGAGAAAAATAAATAATTTCGAGGGGACAATTTTTTTTGGGAAAAAAATATTCTTTCCTCGTCAATGTATTCTTTCTATGGTATAAACCTATGGAGTTCTCTCAGATCAAATGATTGTCGTACAATAGATTATATTTTTTCCTGCCAACAGTTGGAATTCTTCTAGGAATCTTTCTGATGATCACGACAAAAAATTAATTTTTGTGGAAGATATTAAATTTCCTTCTATCAAGCTGGTTAATTTTCTCCAAGTAAATCTGTTCCACTTCATCAAATATTCTCACGTGGAAAATATAGTTTTTCGGCAGAACTAATGTTTTTTCTCAGTCTGTTTTGGTAAAATTATTCGTACCTGTTGAGTTCTTAAAAATTTACTTACGCCTACGAATCTCTGTAACGAAAGCTCCATAAGAGGTCCGGCCATAAAAATAATCGGCTTGCAAAACCGGGTGATGACTATCCCCAAATCATTATTCAATTTCTTGTTAAATTTCCACCAGTTGCTGGAGAAAACAGTTTGTGACAAACTCTGGCTCTGAAAAATTCTCCCAGGATTTTTTTATTGCCGCAAGATTTTTTTTTGGGTGTTCTGTCTCACCTGGAGGGTGAGTTCATTGCCATGCCAGCAATAAATGAAAATCTGGTATGTCATGCAGCACATGTAAGTTATCATGCCGAATGTCTCGACGGGGACGAATACAGTCATCTAAAAAAATCATCAAATATTCACCTGTGTCGTAGGGTTGAGCTAATTCGGACTATTTTATACTTCATCTGAATCGATCACTTACGAAAAATTCTATGGAAAATTCTTACGTTTTAGTCGCGAAATTCTATTGCATTTCTATTAGAAAATTCTACATTTTTCAGTACATATTTTTCCATAGAAAAAAGTATATAGATGTTCACTTTTTCATGTAACTCATTCTATTGGATTGTTTCAATCAGAATTCTCGAAAGAAAATTTTCCAAGTTTGTTGTCTTATTTTTTATTATGAGAAACAAATGAAAATACAACAGAAAAAAACTTAGAAAATGTATGCCCAAAAATTTCAATAAGAAAATCAAATTCTAGCAACTTTTTTAAAAAATTAAATATCTCTTAACGAAAACGATGAATTTTTCTATTACTGGTTCCCTTACGCAATTACCTGACTTATATGGAATGCGGTTAGACAGATGATGATGCAGTTGACGAGAAGTTGCACGAGAACGACATTTCCAAAAATATTTCTCACTTCCTCGATGAAACTTGAGGGAATGATTGTTCAATTTATCTATTGTTTATTTTTGATAATGAAGATGTATGAGAAATAATTTAATAGAGAAATTTAGCGTTTCCTCTAATGAACTCTACTGAAATTCTCTGAAATTTCTTCTATAAATATATTCCCGGGAGTAAAATTTTCCAGTTATGAAAGCTTTGCGTCATTAATTCTCTGCCAAAAGAGAATGGAAAAACGTGAAATATGTTTTAAAAAATTTGTTCATTCTATAGAAATCGGATGAAGCGAATTTCGCGGGATCCGAAGTAGACAAGTAATTTTTTAAAATGTTTAAAAATACGAGGTGAGAACGCCGCCATCTTCGAAGCCCCTTGCGGCAGAGACAGAGAGAGTGTCTCCAACCAAGATGGCAGGGCCCAAACTTATCAACTACTTGGTATGTTTGAAAATTTCTTAAAATTATTAAAATTTCATCGACTTTTGCTCAAGTTCACCTTATTTCATCCAATTCCTCGCAAAAAAAAACAATTTTTTCAAGCCATTCTTCAGATTTTTCCTTCCCTTTCTGCCTAAGAATTAATGACTCAAAATTTTCCCTAAATTTCATATATATTTTTTGTACTCCCAGACGGAAAAAAAATACTTGAATCAAGTATAAAATATAGTTGATTCAAGTATATTATTCTTGATTCCAGTATAAAATCTACTCGAATTAAGAATAAATATACTTGAATCAACTATATTTTTTTTCGTGTAAGGTCCCTTAACATGACTTTATGCATTTCCTGAATATACCCCATAACATCAACAGTATGTTGAATGTAGCTGTGCAGCTCCTTCCGCAGCCTCGCGTCGTCAATCTCTTTAGACCCTCCATCAACATCGAGCTCCAAAATATTCTTCTTGACGACCTCGAACTGACAGCAGGCGACGTTCAACAATCCAGTGATCAACGTGTCCATGGATATGTTGTGGAAGCATCCTAACATAATAGCAAAACTCTGATGTGCACAGGTGATTTGAAAAGCTGGTGTAGCTTTGGTGTCATAAGGGTACCACGCCTCCATGGGTAATCGCCTGGCGTGACCCGAAATGGCGTCTGCAATGGGGGTGAAACCCCAGCAGAATACAGCCATCGTCCCGAAGCTCTGGTACCTCAGGTAATGGTATATCCCCTGCCATGCGTACCACGTAAAAATTCTCTCGAACTTATCCCTGTCCTTTGAGAATTTATCGCTCTCTAGCATGTCCAGAATCCTTTGAATTCGGTTTTGATTCCCTAGAATGAGGAATATCTATTCTTACGTGGAAGTCAGGGGAAAGCGAATCGATATACTGGGAATAACTATTTCAAGTTTATTTTCCACGAGAAAAAAATACTCAAATGTTAACACGCACTAACAAATACAGAATTTTCTATAAAGAATTCCGCAGGAACCCGAGTCGAGGATTTGGTTCTGATTGGACCTCTAAAGATGGTTTTGAACCAGGGGAGACTCCTAGACCCCAATGTTCTATACATACTCCTAGACCCCATTGTCCTCCTAGACAATGTTGTCACAACTCTGCTGTTCAATTGAAAACAGATATCATCTTTAGAGACATTTGTCATGTTTAGAGGCTCTAGCACGTCATTTCTCGACCCGCTCTTTCATTTGAGCCCAAAAAAACATTCATATCTTGTCTGACATCGCTGCTACAAACTCGGGTCTACAACTCGGGTTTTCAATTGACGCCTTTTTTTCAGGGGTGATTTTTCGAAAATTTATTTTAAAAAAAGTACTAACTAGCAAATCTTTTTTATTAGCTCGCAATTTTCTTCAAAACTACTTCAATGAGGAAAAAAATAAAAATTTGGAATATC